AAATCAATTTATATCATTTTAATAGCTAACTAGTATAACATAAATACCCATGCCTAATTATAGTCGTGCAATATTAAGATAGGTAGTTTGGTTTAGGTCAAGTAGATACATTTAAGTAACTACAATTCCACGTTTTGTAACATTGTGTTTGGTAGTGATTTATTTGAACAATATATATTTTGTCAGAAGGGTAAAATTCGTAATCAACGTTTTAGTAATTCATTTATATTAATTCGAGCAATTCAAATGTACATTGCCAACCTCAATCGTTGATTTCACTAATCTTCGTTAAAAAAAAAATTATAATAGGACGTATTATACAGGCGACAGCTGGTAATAGTACAGCAGATATATATATATATATATATATATATACCTCCACTTGTATAATTCACAAATCAAAAACAGACAAACGGTTACTATTATAATACAGCGAAATATAATATTATATGCCTAGAACTAACGATGATAATAATAATTATTAGAAAAGACAAACAGCTTGTTCGTCGAGTCCATTATTATTATTATTATTACAACTATTATAATATAATATACAACCAAACGAGTTTCACATACCACATTCGTCTTATGTGCGTTATTTTATTTATGTCGATGAGATTTTATTGACGGCTCGTTTATGTGGTTTTGTGATTTGATGATTTTTTTTTGTTGTTCTCAACACATTGTTTTCGTTGATTGATCGATTTTTTTTTCTAAATAATAATTGAATTGTGACAATACAACGGTAGTCCGTAGAAAATAATAATATATCCACGCCTATTTATAATTGTCGTATATTATGTATAGGTATTAAATTGTATTTCTGTTACCCAAAAAATAATTTTAATAAGACATAAATTACAAAAAAAAATAGGATTATAAAATTGCATAGACCAGTACACGTTTTTTTTTATAAAGTAAAATATATTTAAAAAAATGTTGATATAGCCACTAAGAATTTTTTATTTCAATAACGAACGATAATAATTTGCTAATAACAATCCACGTACAACTGAGATGTTTATGTCGACGGATATTATATTTTTAATATTTACACAATTTCTTGAAAAATACCAAATCTGATAAAAAAAATCGTGACCCTTAACAAGATTAATTTTGGCTTTAATGCGAAACTGAGAAGGTATTTAATTTTAAAACGATGTGTTCTTTTTTATAACGAAATACATAATGTTTTGTGGTATTTCTTTAAGTGATTTGATTTCAAAGTAATGTGTGACTTTGTGGGGGTTTTTTTATTCCAGAGTTTTCTTTCTGTAATATTCCTCGAATATGTTATGTCGTTCCAATATTGATCTGATGGAAAAAAATGTACACTCGTTCTGTAAAGTTTCCAAAGACAAAATACACTCACTTTACTAATATAAACTATGTATGTATAAACAAATTTATAAAATTTACATATTATTGTTTACATACATGGCCCCTGATATTTCTTATCATTAATACTTTTTTTTTTTGTATATTTTTACACCAGTAAAATATCATTATCAAATCCTTATCGTTTATTTTTACTTCAATGTGCTTAATCTTTGCTTTTCTTTTCATGTTACAAATCAATAAGCTTCCTCATCAGATAGTCAGACCCACTTTAAATCCACTCGGCCAGTTCAACAAAACTGTATGTACTTATCGTTGCTGTCACACCGTCTGGCTTACAACGGCTTAATGAATCGTTTGATGGCCAAAGTCTTTACCCAAGTCAGACGAAGTTAAATTCGTCCCCAAGTGCAAGCCACAAGCTTATCGCTATTTGTGCATTCTAAACGGTCTGCCAATCGCTTTTATTTTATGTATTAAATAATAATTATTACATTTCCGCGTCACGAAATGGAGTACGGAAATGTCACTTAGTAACCAAGGTATTATATAATTAAGGGGATTGAAAGCGGGCGGATTTTAAAAGTATTTTTAATTAATTTCAACCGTGCCAATTTATTTTCAGGTTAATTTGCATAAGCTTTGGGGTATTATTTTTATCGTATACAATTTTTTAAATGGGGAAAAGCTATTGTGGTGGGAAAAAATGCTTCCACTATGATAATTAAGCTGGTTAGTTTATAATTCTGTAAAAATATAAGAACTCGTTGGTCTCGTTGGTAATGGGTTATGTTTCATGTTAAAAATTCCGTTTTTTTTTTTAAATTAAATTATCTAAAAATTGAACATTTTTCATTATTAAAACTCAATTGTTTTTACATAAAAAAAAAATAAAACCCGTTTCCAACATAACCTAGCGCAGTAGCCAATGAACTCGAATACACTGGCAAAATTGAAATCAGTGGTAAAAATGTATTTAGGCTCATTGGTCTAAAACGTTTAAAAGGAGACCACTTTCATCGTCCTTGATTTAATAACAATAATAATATTTTTTATATTAACTCGATTTATTCGATAAAGATTAAAAACATTACCAATATTTTACATTTCTAACTTTAGATCAAAATATCACATTTTTTGCATTAGATTCAATTTTATAAAAATTATTGTTATTATTCCCTTTTTGTTAGGTAAAATTAAACCGTTGCCCAAAATTGTATTTATATTATTATTATTATTATGTTTACCAGATTTGTGTTTCTATATATCTCAATAGAAATGAATATTGTTGAATTGTAACTAAATGTATAAAGTTTAATATTATCATCGTTGCATTGATCAACTTTGTTAAGTGTTAGTGAAGATTGCTCGTCTGTCTTCTATACATGAAAATGGCAAATAACTATGTGCAATAATGATATGGACTATATTGTTTTTGTTGTTTGTAAACCATTCACAGTGGATGTTATGTAGTACAACAAAATGTATAGTCTCCTCTTTTAACGGTGTGTAAACAAAAGTTTTTAGTGTAATCGGATTTACGAGACAGCTACAATAAATTATAAATCAAAAGCAATATATTATCATGGCCCGACTGTGGTTTTATAGTAATATTATTACTATTAACAGTGTAACTTAACTCTAGTTACCCCGAAAGAGGCGTTTTGACAGTATATTTGAAAATATATTGTGAACCGTTGCACTACAAGCGCCGAATAATTGTAATTTATCGTCATTTTACACGATAGGTTGGTTTATACAAAATTATCAAAGAATTTCATTTGTTTTTAACATTTATTTAGGTTGGAATATTATTGTTGTTCTCCATTGACGAGCTACGGTTGTATGAGTGTTTTTAATTAAATGAATGAATAACATTTTTTAAATTTTATTTGCAAATTTTAACAAATACCATTTTTAACCGGTAAGCGAATCCTAAATGTAAATTCATTAATTGGCGAAAATGCAAAATAATTTTTATTTCTAAGATAATCCTATTGAACTAGAAAGATTCAAATCGATCAAAAACAGTTTTGAATAAAATGTAATTTGATAAAAAATAATTGTGTCGTGAAATTATCACAAAAGAAGGATCATGAATTGTCATACTTCAGCTTTTAGAATATATTTTTTTAAATTGGAATAATGAGTATTTAAGTCAGAATTTTGTGTTTAGCTGGAAATCTGAAATTTTAGGGATGCCGTCGCACCGCCCATTTTTAAGAAGTAAATTATAGGCAATTTTTTATAAAATCTTAATTTAAAGGTCAAACTGTGATATGTAATTATTAGTTCAATAACTAGGACTCTATTTTGGTAGTTAATTTATTTTTCGGACTATCACAGCATCCTTGAAAGCGATTTATAAATGTTTTTTCATCTCTACTTGTTTAAGCAGACTGAAAATAACTCGCTTAATTTTGGATTTAGAGTAAAAGCATCCATTATAAAATTAAAAGAAAACAATATTTCAGAGGGCAAGACGGTGCGATATTTTCATTATTCTAAGTATAGCTCTCAATACATAGTTTAGAAATAACGACTATTTTAACATTTTTAAATGACTGTAACTTTTCAAAAAATGATTTTTTTTTTTTAAAACGCACCGTCTTCCCCTCCGGAATATTGTTTTCTTTTAATTTTATAATGGGTGCTTTTACTCTAAAACCAAAATTAAGCGAGTTAGTTTCAGTCTGCTTAAACATGTTTTTACCACTGAAAATCACCCGTGCGACGCCCTCTTAATTAAATAGACTACTATTGAAATGCTTTCTCAAAACGTACCAATGATGTGATTTGTATTTGGTACAAACGAACTAAATGAAATGCCAAAACTAAATAGAAATTTAATTGAACGAATTTAGGGTTTCAAATTCGTGTGTCGTTTTTGGAATGGCCGATTTAATTATACGATTCAATGCAATCAACAAGCTCCTTGCAGCTTTGTAACATTGCCGTTACAATTATTATCAGGTATGAAATTCCGCACCCCATTCCTAACACTTTCACCGGCGATATTATCATAATACTTCCGTTTGCGGACGGATCGCAACGGTAAAGGCTCGTCAACCGGACCTATGCGTACTCAGATAAAATGGGAAAAAAAAATCACTTTCCATTGGGTTTTGTCTAGTGTGTTTTTCATTTTTTTTTAAATAAAACAAATTCATCACACATATTTTTGCACCGGTACACGACAATAGGGCCCCGAAAGAGAGTCGGGAAGGGGCGGCTGGGCGGAAACAAAATCTAGGTCCAAATCTGAATACGTATACACACACAATGTAATATATATATATTATTATTCATCAATGGACGTGGACTGAAACAAATAAAAAAAAAAAAAAACACTACTCGCTTGCACACTGCCGAGAATATAATGCGTACAAATTAACTCTGTAGGCAAAAATCAACGTCAACGCATACCCGTCGACACACGTCCCTCTCCTCCGCCGCCGGTAGAAAGTGTCTCGGTTTTTTTTTTTTTTTTACTTTTAAATTTTTTTACATTATTATCATCATCGTCTCCTCTATTATACGTCCGGGGCCGGGGCGTGTGGAATTTTAAACGACGAGGAGGCGATCGGGTTTTATTTGTTTTCGTTTTCCAAAACCGCGGGGCGAGGCGGACGGTTTTTTGATAAAAACACAGCGGCCTCGCCGTACGACCGTTAGTGTGTGTCCACGAGCTTTGCCGTCCGGTTAGTACACAGCGACCAGACCAGAAGCAGCGGCAATCGCGTTTGTCCAGAGACACTTGAATTATTGTACTTAAAGTGTGTTGTCTTTTTACCGTGTGCGCCCACCTGCAAGTCGGCGGTGTGCCCTGCCGCAATATATCGAAAATATTCTCATCCGTCCGCAACCACCCTGCCGGGATCGCTTCGACTCGCTTTGTCCCAGCAACCAGAGTGTGAACAACAGGTACGGTTGTAAATTTTTTTTTTATTCAATGATATCAGTTCTATATAATACACAACTTTGTAAAACAAAAGGGAAAAATAATTCGTAAGATTTTCAGCTAAAAGCTAAAGCTAAAAAATAGCGTGATATTATTTTTATACTTTTATTATACAAATCGAGTTTACTGGTATTGTTCGATATTGTTGATTTTACTTTTAAATTATATTATAATATAAACCTTTGAAAGTCTAGAAAAAAAATTTTATCGCGTTTATTCAAATAAAACCGATTAATTTTAACACTATTCGATGCTTCACATTTTATTTGTCTCAAGTGTAATTAAACGGAGTTAAGCCACTGAACTTTGTGTTTAATACTTTTTACAATTTAGGAGATACGCTTCAATGCCAATACATTTAAAATTTAGAAATAGTATATACATAAAACTATGACAAATAAACACATCTAATTGAAAAGTGATAATTTTTATTTTTTTATCTTTGATGGGCAAGGTATTGGTTTTTTTTTTAAATTCTTTCAAACGATTGAGAAAAAAATATTAAAACATAAACATTTTACACCACTCAATTTCTTTATTTAATAATAATATTACTAGGTACTAATAGTGTATTTCTAATTCAATGTATAGCAAATGCGATTAAAAAATTATCGTACGGTTCGAAATATTTTAACAATATCTACTATATTGAGATATAGTAGATATTGTTAAAACATCATTGCCTGCTTTGGTCTGAATTTTTTTATTACATTTTTGTGGGATGTATGAGATTGAGAAAAATTTCTAACAATCGTTGATGCGGTACAATTTTTTCTATTCAACATCTGGAACTAACCAGCATTTTAAATTTTATATTCCTTAAAATCACTTAGAGAACCCTTTACTTAAAATTAAAATTAAAAATCGGTTGTTAACATGATTAAATTAAAATATATTATTTTATAACAGTAAGAACTTATTAATTATTGATAAGCGAAATGTGTTTATTTTATGTTAATGGAAACCATGTTAGTTACATAAAATTATGGGATTTTTTTTTTGTGGAAGAATTAAAGTACATTTTTTTAACTAAAAAATATACAAGGTAATTTTTGAAAAAGCTCACAGCCCTGCAATAATTTTGTTTTGCTAAAGGTTTTAACGCGCTGAATTCAAATCTAAAAAGCGTTTTTAGCACGTCCGGTGTTTTCACAACTCGAGTATAACTATTGTGTTTAACTTATATTATCTTATAACAATTACCTACCTGAATAACATTATTTGCTTATAGTTTATGCCTAAAAAAATACTTTTTTAATATCATATAAATCATGTAAACACATCTATAATTTTAATTTTTTCTTAACATTGAAAATATTCTAAAATAAAAAATGTAATATAATGTGCATACACTAAATGTCAAGCTCTGTACATCTAAAATGTAAAAAAAGCCGTAGTTATAATAGGTATAAAGAACAACCAAGCTAGATTATGGATCCGTTATTTGGAGCCCATTTCAGAAGAATTTAATTGAACAAATTGAGCTAATTCTAAATCGTTTCCTAAATCGTGTTCTTCGATGGTAATTAGGCAGGTCTGATGAAAGTTTAGATGCTATTGCTGTTGTAAATTTAAGGTGAAAAATTACAGTTGAGAAGAAAGTCCACTTGCACCTAAATATATATGAATTTATAACCTTTCAAATGATGAAATAGATTTGTTCTGAGGATTTAGGTAGTCAATACCAATTAAATAGTCAATTTTTAAAAAGGTATCCATCATAAAGTATTATCATTCTAGATATAACTTCAGACAGAGGGAAGTGGTAAACTTTTCTAACATTTGGTCTTGATCTTTTTTAAAAGGGTTTGTTAATTCGCCCTTTAAAACAAAAAATCAACACTAATATATTTTTTCCATGTGACACTAAGCGTTTTTCCATATTTGTTGACATTTTTTTTTTTTTTGCAATATTCGATTGGGGTTGTAGGCGTTATAGGGTAAAAAAAAAAACCGATATCTTTTCCATCTCGATTACGAATATTTTCGAGGTGCTATTGTGTCGGCGGTATTCGTCGGCAACTTGTCATTGGAACATTTTCTCCGACTTGTATCCGGGTCGAATCCGGATCGATTCGTCATCGCCGGTACCTACATAATATATGATTATTATTATCATCATTGTTGTCTCTCTGTCGTCGCTCGCGCTAGGAGTGGTGCCGGGTGTAATGATAACAATAATAATTATCGCCGATAATACATGCAAAGACAGAGTGTAATTACACGACGACCGTTACAGTTGCCCGGCCGCTTTCCGTGGGCCGAATCCGAATGTAATTCAAATAAGAACGTGTCGACCGTTTGTCTTGTGAACTTTTTAAAAACTAGGTGTAAGACGAGTACGGCTCTCTCGCCTTGACATTTCGTCAAAGCCGCGCGACAATGATCTTCGACTATTGTTTAGAGAAAAATAAAACAATATTTTTTTTTTACTTTGCACATACCTAATTTCCAAGCCGTCAGTGAAATCTACATAATATGACAGCTGCACGTGTTAACGACAATAATATACCATACGGGTCCGAGTAGTCTCGTTGTGTTGTTGTTATTATTTTATTCTTTCAAGCGATTAGAGTCAATATATACCTAGCCGGCTCACGCGGAAATTATTGTTAATCCATAATAATTAAATGGATCATCTTAGGGCCACAAGCAACGCTTATTGGGGTTGAAATAATCAAAAAGTAGTTTTTAGTTGTAAGCTGTATTATTTGTAAACTTTTTGCTTTTGATAAATAAATAAATAAAAAAGGGGGGAGGTCCAGTACCAGATCAAACTTTTTAAGGAAATACAAATCTTGCAGCTGCCGGAAAGGGTCATTCAATTTTTTTTTTTTTAAATCTTACCAAACAATAATAATTTTTTACTAAAACGACAACTTTAATATTATACAGTAAAAATTGGCGTCTACAGAGTTTACTTTAATAATCGGTGGGTATCGGATACCCACCGATGGTAAATATTTTTTTGAATAAAAACCAAACTAAATGAAATTTTTCGCATTTATGCGCCACAAAACCAAGTTTATTGACAACAACTCGGATGTTAAAAGTTGTGTATTTTCAACAACTTTGCTTTCATTCTGACCAGTTAAGTATCTAAAGTACCTTTCTGATACGATTTCCGATCAACAGACTTAAATTTTAATCAATTCAGCGACTTGTCGTGGGTCCGGGGACACTAAGAAAAATAAATAAATAAAGGCACGTCATCATTGTGAAAACAATACCTTCTCGTCTACGCATCGAAGCTAATATTATTATTATTATTATACGTCACGGTATCATTCCGGAACTGTCGGTTGAGATTCACTTGTGTGTTTTCTTCGAGTTGTCGATTTACATAATATACTTTTATGTGCACATTATATTCCAAATAAGTCCAAAGAAGGGTGTGACAAACCAACCGAACCGTGAAATTCGCACGCGTCCGATTCGATCCACCGCCGGTCATGATTATACTGTTGATTTTTTCACACTTGGGGGTACGTTTTATCTCACAGGTTATAAGTGATTGTTAATAAAAAAGTATCCCGGACTGGACAATAGCGCTCATGTTGTGTGGTAAAGGTACTTAGTGAATGCAATGCTGGTACTGTTTTTAAGATTAGGTGTTTTTATCATACATCCAACATTAAGGGACTTTAATGGGATGAAAACTTGAAAAGTTTTGATGACTTCCTCTTCAAAATCAGAAACGCACTTAACACATTTACATAAAATTACGGCACTGTAACTTAAAAAAAAAAAAATAGTCGAATTAGTTTCTAAAACAATTTATTACAATTATAATTAGAACAATAACCGATCGACATGTTATAATGTCTACGAGGAGCTGAGAAAGTGTTATTTGTTTAGTCTCACTAATATTGTATAAGCCGCCTGACCGACTTATTCATATTAGTTTAAAGATCAGAAAGCGTTCGAAGTAATGAATTCAAAAAGTTCAATTTTTCTCTAGAAAGGACAAAAGCGTTTTTTATCTCCTGTTTAAAAAAAATAATAACCTGTACATAAATCTGATACTTGACTTACCAGTATTTGTACTTGTTTAACATGTTTAACTTCTTAAAGAAAATATTTAGTCAAAAGTTTTTTTTTGTTATCGAGAATAAATTCAAAAACTTCTAACAAAGTTGGTTCAGTACTAAGCTACGTTTTTTAGCCTCAATGCGAAGTCGATGAGATATTAATTTGCTATGGTAGTGTGTTTTTCTTGTTAACGAAATATAAATTCCGATACACAAAGCTTGTAAAATACTTAAAACACAAAATTACAAAAATCTTCCTGTTCTTATAAGTATAAAATATAATGCAGTACAGTAATGCCTACCAAAGGGTAGGTACAATTATATCTCAGTTGACTTTGCACTGGTAACTTACCCAACGTTTAAAAAATACTGTTTGTCACATCTTATTAAAAAACTAACGTGCAACACTGCTGAGTATACAAGTGGGTTGTCATCCCTAATCCGAGACACTGGATCCCTCATACCAATAATCTGATAAATTGCTTTATTATATTTACTAAGAATAATAATTGTGCTAATGTTGTTTTGTCTTCTGCTTGTGCTTGTGCAGTGTAGTCCGGAAGAAAAATGATCCGTGTGACGATAATTTTAGCAGCTTTGACGATATCCGGTCAATGCCAAAGCACACAGCAAAGCGGCGTCGATCGCGACACGTCGGTTTCACAGGGATTCATGCCGATCAATAACCAACAGGCCGTGGCGCCAGCAGCAGTCCCGGAAACGTCGTCGGTACAGAGCAGAGATTATTCAGGCGGTTCAGATTTCTATGGTTACAACAATTATCCACCTAGTTACGGACCGCCGAGCTCGAGTTATGGGTCTTCCGGATCGGGTTCGTTAATGTCTTGTAATGCCCCTTAATCGAGCAAAAAACCACAATAATACAAACACCAACACTCCCTCCTCTTTTGGATTGGTTTATGAAAAATTATAAAAACTAACATTAATTTCAATGCTCTACACAATTTGGCAACGGAGAAATTTAAACGAGGGGGCTAGACATATTATTGGTACACTTAAGATTTTAAGTGTACCAATAATAGTCCACGTTTTTGGATATAATTTTTTTTTTGGTGAGAGTTTAACGTTATAATAAAAAATATTTTCTTATACGTTTGTGGATTTCTTCTAAATTTTTATTTTATTGTGTATTTAAGGAGTTTCTTTCGAACCTTCGTCGCCGGGCGAATCCAGTTCGTATTCAAGTTCTGGTTACAGCGTTCCGTACTACCCGTATGGAGACGACAGTACAAAGAAAAAGAGACCTAGCTACGCATCGCCTTACTATCCACGTGAGTAAATAATTTGTTTTTTTTTTAAATCATTAATGTTAAATTTAAATCATTTATGTTAAATGTTAATAATAGCATACCGATTGTACTGAAGGCTGATAATTATAGGCTTAAGTAAGAATGTTGAGAGATATATTTGAATACATGAAAAATTAAAACGTATTTTAACAAATTAAGTTTAAGGTATATTTTTCTATTGAGTAGTATTTAAACAAGCTAAAATACAATATAGTTTTACAACACTCGAATCAATATTGCGGTTTTTTCACAATAAAATAGTAAATGTTAATATTCTTAAGAGGTATTCAAGTACCTATAGATCATATGGATTATTTTGACGGTAAATCATTTCTTAACTTAAAGGTAATTTTTATAAACTATTTTTTTACTGATCATTGACATTACTTGTTCCGTATATTTTTTATTTTAAAGCTGGCACAAGTCGGCGGAAGCGATAATAATATTGTATGTAATTGTCTCTTTAATGAACTCAATAGGTACGCATTGTTAAATAGCGATTTAAGCTTGAAAAAGGACTAATCCAACTAATTGAAAAAATAATTACAACATTTTTATACGAGAAAATATAATTAAACAGACCGTTTTTTGAGTGTAAGTTAATTAATTTGAACTTTTAACAATATTGCAGTTGGCACGGTCTCTTTTTGTTTTTTAGTCGTTAGCCAAAACTTTAAAGCGACAAAAAAAAAATCGAATAATATTAATTATAACAAGTTAAGTTTACAAAGCCCCGAAGTCGATGTTAAACAAAAAATAATGCCGGATGAATACAAATTCCTGTAACAATAGTATAATACAGTTTTGAAACAGAAAGTGTACACTCATTGTGCCGAAACCAGTATATAGAACAAATACTCAACCAAAAGTGAACAGTGTCATAAAAATAATAAATGGTAGTTAAAATTTAAGGTAGAAATTAAATATTTTTTTCACATTGTTTTTATTAATCGAAATTTAAAAACAATAGTATTATGTTTAAAATACAAATACCCGGAAAGATTTATGAAAGGTCTGTTCTGTTGACGTTTTAGATCAAAAAGTCGACTACCTTAGAATCACCTGTATTCATTATGACTTGTATCGTCGTCATAAGTGTTTGTATAATTCTATGTAATTTAATTTAATTTAAAAAAAAAGGTTTTGTTTTTTGTGGGGATAAAAGATGTATGTTTCGATATTTAAAGTGTTGTACATTTGTTTTAATTGCATGACTTCATAAACGAAAACCTCTATTTCAAAAAATCTAGTAAGGAGACCACAAAACTTGTATATTAGTATTGAATTAAAATCTAATCATGCTAAGTGGTCGAAATTGTCTGAAATGTTTTTTTACTCAAAACATCACAGAACCTTTATAACTATATTATTAAAGATCAAAAAAAGAGGATATTTTAATTCTGTAGCTAATACAAATCTATCTAAAAAAATCGACATTATTATTCATTTCAAACCAAGACTTGAAACAGCCGTGAACCTTTTTTAAAAAGCTAAATTTTAAACAGTTACCTAATAACTTTTTTTTAATGAACTTTTTTATGTTTCAAGTAGCAACGTTAAGTTCTTTAGTGCAAATACAAGTACAGTTGTAAAACATGTAAAGTCTTACAGCAAACAAGTTAATAACATAGACTTTTTTTTTAAATAAAAAAAAATACAACAGTTGGGGGTGGAGTGGATGTAGGAAAACTTGGGGGAGTGGGGAAGGGGCAATGTTTGAAAGAGAAATCGGGAAACCCCGCGTCGTTCGGGCGCAATCAATTAATTAACTATCCGGCTGAAACAATGGAAACAATGCGCTAGCCGATATTCTTCTAGGACGGGGAAAACATAAATAGGTATAAGACAATAATAATAATAACAACAATAATGATAATAATAGTGATAATTTGATTAACATCGTAAGCCATTATTCGTGTAAGCGCAGAGCAACGACGGTGTTTTTTTTTTGTGATTTTCGATTATATTGCCTTGATATTGAATGTGTGCTCGCTATTGATAGGCCATCAAAGGGGAGAAATTAAATTTCAACGCCCACAAACGAGGTCGGTTTAGAATATACTATATATTGTTCTGAAGGAAATTGGAACTCGCGCAGCATCTCTATCAGAGGGATACGATTCGATGATACAATATAAATAAATCGTACTATATAAGAACAACACCGTCGTGTGTGTGTTGCCCATCGAACAAAAGCGGATGAGATGCATAAATCGATCATTTCTCTATGTATAGATCCATATAAGCGTCGACTGCTATAATCGTAATGGAAGTTTATGAACGTTTTCCGCATTGAAACCGTCGAATTACACACACGATATACATCATAGTTTACCGAAAAACCTCTGTTTTGCAAACGTTTAGATAACTCGGTTAGTCAGGATAAGTAATGTGTATAATATAAGAGAAAGAAAATAGTTTTGTCATGTTCAATTTGAGATATACATTTAAAAAAATTGAATCGGTAGAAATCCAGTATCCGGTAATTATGGGGAAAAACAAATAAAACCCTATAACTCTGCAATTAACTCATTACCAATATAATATTATAGGGTACATTTTAAGGGCAAACAAATTTATTGATCATTATGAACTATAATTTAGGCGGAATAGATGGTTTACTGTTTCAAATCATTTTTTATTGAACATTTTTGTGATAATATCAACATAATACACAAAATGTTTGTATATTATACAAAAATACAATTTTTTTATTAGATATATGCCTTCGATTTTATTATTTTAACTTTTATTTAAATAACCTATTAGATATTTGAGTTTAAAATTGAAAATCAATTTAATTTATTTAAAATAAATGAAAGGAAAATTGAAGTAGTTAAAATGAAAATGTTGAATTGGATATGTAGAGTGACTAGGTTAGAGGGTTTAATGGATTTCTTCATAACTCTATTAAGTGTCTATTTACTAGTTGTATACTAATTTAAATATTTTTACCCAGTAGAGGTAGTGTCTAAAAAAAATTGTTGTTGTGACTAAATACTTATCTTATATACGACACACAGACAAAAAAAAAACAATAAAATATACAGACAACCATTGGAAAACTAATAAACTGACTGCTCCGAATAACGTACTAGTTAATATGTAAACTTATGATAAACGGGTAGTTTACCTTAAGAGTCAAATTAACGTGGGTAATAACGGTTACTAATTTTCAGATATTTGTTTTAGAAATAAAATATTTTTATTTAACTTAGTTCCATAACTATGTAGTTAAATCGGTGGAAAATTACTCACCGGACTTTACATAACTGTTAACGTTACACCGTTACTTTTAACGCATCTATAATACTTGGTTACAAAATAAAATCAGAGATTTCGGCTTGATTATATCTCAAACATAATAAATAATATATTAAAATATGATATTTTATGAATTTGTAGCTTGGCCGTTTTTATTCTATTAGAAATACCTGATTATTTCATAAACTGATTTATATAGATTAACGCCCATGGTAACGTGTATACTAGATTTCATATTGATTCCTTTTGTGACGCGTTCACTTTTGTTATCCATTCGGTATTGTTTTTATATTTTTGTATTACTTAACTAATTAAAAATCAATCGATTAATAACTATAATAATAATTTATAATAAGAACTAGTGTATATTTACTGTATACCAACGCAATACAAATAATATGTAAGTCACTCTTGTTCAGAAAATAATAAGTTTAATTAAAAATAGAACAGGATATGAATAAAAACATGATTACTATCGATAGCAGACTCGTTACATAAAGAAATACTTGTACTAGAAAACCATACTTTGTGCTATTTGCACTACAATCTATAAACCGAGAAAGCATAATGCTACTTTAAGATAATTCAAACAGTCCGGTGTACTTTAATTGTTAACAGTTTGTTAGTCTGTACAAAAATAAATAAGGTGCTTCGTCGAAAAATCCAAACATCGACAAAAAAAAATCGTGTAAATTGTTAAATGTGTTGTAAATTTATATTTTTCGATTCAGCTATTGTTATCATAATTAAAATGTTAACATGTTATGTATTTTTATAAATATTGATTTTTGTGTGCCAAAGCTAACTCGTTTAGATTTTGACAAAGATAGTATATTTTCTATTTCTGACCTTTTCTTTTCTAAATCTCAAATTAAGATTGTTATTTCTCATTTTTTTTTTCCAGCAACAACGGTCGCTTGCCCGAATCCGTTTACCAACAACATATTGACGGACCTGTTGAAAACCGGGAGCACAGCCAAATTCGGTCTTGTCAAATCCGTGATAGCCGCCATCGCCACGTTATTCCTGGCGAAAATCCCCATACTGTTAGCCGTCAAGGCTTTAGTACTCAAGTTGTTTGTCGTTCCCTTGGCCGTCGTCGTGCTGTCGTTGCCCGTGCTCATCCCGGCGGCCCTCCTGTTCCAACCCCTGTGGAAGAGATGGAAGGAGTTCGTGGGAATCGACTCCAAACCGCAGATGGTCATGATGATGCCGGCCAACGACAGCCCTAAGCCCAGCAACAGCACCACGCCCGAACCGGCTTCCTCGAGGGCCTTGGAAAACAACCTGGAAGGCATACTGAGCAACTTGCTCGAGTCGGAGAAGTGCATGGAAAGACTTGCTTGTCAGTTGGGCGTGAGAGACGCGAAATCAGAGTACAAACAGCAAGTGTCTTGGTAAGTAAACGATCCGGACATGTCCATTGGTCAATTTAAAATTATTGTGCATGGACATTTTTGTGTCGCGAAATCGGTCACGTTTGATAAGAGGAGGTGTCTGATAAGGGATCAGATTTGACGATTTGATTGAATTAATCTGGCATGTGGTCACAAGTTCCAAAATTCATAGGTTCCCAAAGTCATAGATTCTCAAGCCGTCAAGCTAGCAAAAAAAAGAAAAAGTAAACGACCACGAAGGGCTGTGCAATGCGGGACGTTGGCATTAACCGTCATGACCATATTGATAACTTAAAAACTTGATATCATTTGGGAACCCATGACCGATGCCATTTAATCGGTCTTACCGCTAAACTATCAGCAACCATTATCAACTGTCTCTTATTCTTCGATTGGGAAAAGTGAGGGGGGATCATATAGTATAATATTACATAATATATTACTATTCAAGTGTTCATTGCTTCGCGCTGGCTAATAATAATAAACTAACAATTGGTTTAGATAGGTTAACTATTATGTGTTGGAGGGAATGGAGTGGTGTTGAGGGGAAATTTAAATTTTCTGGATAGTAAAATCGTTTTTTTAAATAAATAATAATATTTTCCAAGCAATAATCGAGTTACAATATTCGAATAAGTCGACTAGCGACAAGTGTGCCGGTTTCAGCAGCAAATAGGCAACTCAATTCACTATAAAGTAATTGGATGTCGGGTTTATTTTATTATAGACTAACGTAGAAGGCTGATTGCTCTGCTGTAAAATGTCGGAGAAAAATATATATTACATAATAAACAACAATAGCAGTTTTTTTTCAGTTAGAAACGATATTAAAAAAATAAAGCTCTGATTTTTGTGGAAAGACATACATGAAAACATTTTATATTTGGATAATGTGTTTGATTTTTAACTCTGTTTGACTTATGATTATTTATTTTAAATAAAAACCAGAGAATTTGTTCAGACGTTCTGACGTGCCTAATAATAAATTTAAATGTAACCTAATAGTTGTTAAATAATATTGTGTAAGTAATTTCACATGAAGTTATTTTTTGAATGATTCAAATTTGATGAGATCACGAAAAATAGGTTTCGATCTCACTGTGAGTGAAAAAAAAAATGTAGTAGTTGTAAAAAAAAAAAATAAATAAATTGGAGAGCAGATTATAGCGAAATTATCTAGTCTAGACCAGATAGACATGTTTTAGTTTAAGTTGCGGTTTTTTGCTGTGACAATTTTTTTTTTGCTCTCTCTTATCAATTTATGGTTTTGCTGATTTGCGCGCAAAGCGACAATCTCGTGCGACCATTTCCAATTGGAAACTATATCATTTTTTTTATTAGTTATAATTTGTGTCGGCCAGACAGGAAATACCGTTCAGAAATAATTTTCGATTTTGGTGTTGATGATGATAAATGTGTAATTGGTGTTCGTTAAAGTAATTATTATGAAAAGGAAGGACCCCCTGTCGGCCATCGCATGCTCTATTAAAGATAAGTTTTCACTCTTTATCGCCTGCGTTTGATCGAGTATTAATTATTATTGTTTTTTTTTGTCAATTTTTATCTCATTCCTCTTTTGGAATATCTGAATATTAAAACGGGTTTTAACGACCTTTTCGGCAACGCCCATCCAAACTTCTCAAATGCACTTACATCATTTATTTTAAACTTGACTAATTTTAGTTTTGGCCTCCTTTTTAATAGTTTTACATTATAACAATATCATTTTCATTTGATTTATTCTATATAAAAAAAATTATCATTTCTAATCTACATCTTTTTTTTACACTTTTAATGGAAAAAAATCGAACATTATACGATAAAAAAAATTCGTTGGTATAAAATAAAAAAACAAATATTCAAAAAAATTGTTTGAATAATAATAATAATAATTACTTTTTGCTAATACGGTGCTACACACTTAAATCTCAAATCGACAAATTATCCAGATTTATTTGTTTATCAAAATTAAAAAAACAAATCTTCAGTTAGAAAACATTTTTATAATGTTTACTAGAAACAATAATTGTATTATTTAATTTAGATTTAAAAGAAAAATCTGTTAATACGGATAATCAGTTTATTTTGAAGGATATAGTAAATTTGAAAAATCTGTATTGCTAAATAAAATTGCGCTTATATAAAAAACGAATTTTGTAATTATAAAAAATAAAATTATAATGTTAATAACATTTATCGAACGACAAGAGTTAATACTATTATTATTATAACGGTCATCGCTTTCCTGTCGTTGAGATCGAGCAGTGACACTAATAGAATAATTGAATTTCAATTTTTACATTGTTGAAGTATTTTCTAATGCTTCTATCGAATGCTTTATGTTAGTCATTTACTGATAAAAAAAAAAATATTTTTAACAAGTAATTATTATGTCTATTCCGCATAAAAATAATAATATTCAAAACGAAAGACAATTTGACATTTCACTCATTGTTCGTTTTCAATAACCTTGCTACGGTACTTTTCAAACACAAAGAAAATATTTATACAATTTTTTTTAACTTCTTATAGCCAAAAATTAGTTTAGAAAAATATTTTCCTGATCATTATGTTAATATTAAATGTATACACCGCTACAGTCAGAGTAATAATTAATCTGTATGATTTAGATAAAAAAATGGTAAGTTCAATAAGTAAATATGCAAAGACAGTAAAAAAGTTTACACGATTAAATTAACAATAAACATAAATATTTTTTATTGTTACAAGAATTTTGTAAAAACTTAAGTGGGACTCGATAAACGTAATAAATATCATTTGCAATATTAAAAGTGTTTTATTGTATAAAAAATAATATACACATTTGCCTTGTTTGGTCACAAATTTGCTTAGATAAATCGAAAAGTATATTCCAGTGAACTGTCAATTGTTTCGTTTGCTTAAGTCCATACAAATTTATGTTTTGACAAGCGTCCTTGTTTAATGACAGGGCTAGAATTAAGTACACAAAGGATATTTTAGAATTTGGTTACAATATAATGCTGCGTCAATCAATAAGTTTTCAAAAGCGGACTTTTCCATAAACTGTCATCGTGTAGCTGTATTTTATCATTTATATTCTAGTATAGATTTTCAGTCCAAGGGTTTAGAGCTTCGGCGTTAAGAAAGATTTTCCCTTTTCCCGGTAACTATGCCAGAACGGAAATTAAAACGTTGCCAAAAATATTTTCCTTTATAATTTCAGTTTCTTTTATTATAATAATAATAATAGTGAAAACGTGACGCAGTAGGGAGGCTTTCAAAATGGACGCAGGCGATTATCCAGGCGAATATTCTCCCTTTTCAATCGGGTTACACATTTTTTTTCGCCTTTATTTTGTCCGCATTAGCAGCAAGCGTATTTAATAAAAAATTTAACTTACAGAATTTCAAAAACAAATGAATGAATAATTTTATTAGAACATGCCAGTAAGTCTCATAATTTTGTCACAGCAATAGCTTATGGCTTATCAACAAAATGGCTTTTACGCGTAGAACAAATTATGTAAAAATAACACCATGAAGCTTATACAAATTAACTTAAATACAAATTGACATACCTCGGATTTATTGGTTGGTATTAACGGCAACAAATTAGAATCTGATCAGCCGCTTTATCGCATTCGCCCAAGAACTAAAAAATATTGTATTACAAACACATTATTGCTTTTATCGATTTTTGTCGGTTTCTGCCATCTGCTGCTGATTCGAGTCGGAGTGTTTATTTGAAATTGGTGTGATTACATTCTGTTAAAACAATTCCAAAAGGACCAGTGTGCTCTTTCCTACCAACCGTTTTCCCATGTCGTTACTTGTTAGTTGGATAATCTTCTATTAAAAAATCGCCTTACTTAAAAATTATACTCAAATACATCAGTCGTGTAGTGCATTGATGCCATAAACTATAGGACGACGATTGACAATAATGTTAATAACGATTTGCAAACCGAACAGAGAATTGTGTGATGTTTGATTTTTTTACCGCTAAAATATTAACTCGATTTAAAAGGTTAAACCTTTTCCTACCGCGTTCGCTATAACCGACTTTGGCGTGCTATTGTCCCGAATAATGCTTGTGAAATATTTGCATTACAAAAACAACAAGTCACGTGTAATTGTCACACTTTCGTTGTACTTTTTTGTCTTTTTACGTAAATACTAGAAAGTTCATATTGTTTTCCAACGAATCCCCGTCTTAACAGTATCATCGTTGACGTGACGGAAATTTCGGAATTATTACTATTTGTTTTACAACACACGTTATTGCAAATATTTAGAACAACGACACACATCAGTGTGGATTATCAAAAACAAAACAAACAAATTTTCTACACTTTTAAACGTATTTGAAATACTTAAATAAACGCTCCGGGCCGAATTTATGGCATAGTCGCAATATAATTAAAATATTTTCATTGTCTATTGACGGTTGATTCACTCACACACAGTAACCTGAGCATTGACTACAGTCAAAGTGTAATTTCCCTCTTTTTTTTGTTGGGTTTTCCTAAATAAAAATAAAAGTTTGACTACAGATTTTGGAGAAAATTGTATATGATCCATTCGCGGTCTACCTTCGGTCTAATTTTCGAAATTAAATCCCAAAAATTTTGTTTGAAATTGTGAAAAAAAAAACAGTTTCTATCCCTTCTAGTTAACCCTATATCCGGTTTATGATATTTTTTTGGTTTGTCAACGGTTATCGGCAGTACTGTGTTTAAAGAATATTCCATACAAATTTGAAACTAATTCGACTATTTTAAAAAAAAGTTTTTAAAATTTATCTTAATTTTAAGTCGAAAATATTTAAATTTTTCGAGATTTTGAAAGGAAGCGGTGAATTTATTAAAAATTTAACCCAATAAAGGAATTTTTATGTACGATTTTTATTTATGATCTATTAAGTTGCTACGCGAAGAAATCGGTTCAGCGGTTTAAAATATATCGTCGGTCCAGACACAAAAATAAATAAAAACACATCATTGTAAAAACAATACCTATTCTTAGTTCCGCATCGAAGCTAATACCTACCTATCATCACGTAGGCGGCACGTACAATAACATTTATTTTATATTAATTTTATTGTTTTTTTTTTCTTACAAAAATTTACCGATAGAATAAATAAAACAAGCGTTAATGATAAAATAATAATCAAACACTTCCTCCTGTGTAAAACTAGGACAATTGTATTGTATACAAACGTTAAAAATAGAAATTGTTATTTTTTTCTTTTTTTGCGCTAAAAATTAGTTTTTAGATATTACTTATCCGGCTCTTTGTTTGGCTCGGTAAAATTTCAGAAAATTATGCAACGCCCGAATGTTGTACGATACAATTTAACGGTCTCGATCGATCCACTATGCTATTTTATACAAATTAACCTAAATAAAAAATGTCAGGATACATTGGTGAATTACATTATTATAGTTTGTCGGTCAAAAGCTTTCTTGATGTATTTTGTACAATTTTCAAAGAGAAAAAAACCGAACGCGACGAAATCACATTTATAAACGTTTATATGCAAACTGTAGAAGTTTGAAGTATAAGAATTGATAAAAGCATTGTTAAAGCTATTATGTGCTCTAAATTACACCTAAAAGAAACAAAGAAAACATTTTCACCCCTTTTTGGTGCGAGGAGTTTTTTTAGTTGTATACTTATATCAGTAGTATATAGTATTATACCGAAAGATTATTCCATACAAATTTGAAAACAATTAGACATTTTTAAAAAAAAGATATAGCCCCGAACATTCAAGTCATGAAATGTGTACACTTTTTTAGTGTTTTTCTCGATTTCAAGGGAAAGGGGTAAAGTTTTTAAATTGTTGACTCGATTTGCTACGGGCAACATTTTTCACGCGTCGAAAATCACAAAATAAAAACGCATCATTGTAAAAACAATACCTTTCTCAGCTCGGCGTCGAAGCTAAAATAATCAAATACATTCGAGATTCGACTTTCGTTCAACTAGCAAAACACTATGGTATTTTTAAACGACCAACTTTCATATTACCCATAGTGTTGTTGACACACCCCAAGGTTATAGTGTTGTCGCCGTTTAGCTGGAAGCGTCGAAAATCCTACTAAAAAAAATGCATTGTCCCGGAAACGGTGTCACGACCCGCATTGCAGCCGTATACAAGAATATAGTTTCAAAAATGTCAATAGACACGTCCGGGCTGTGCTTTACCGTTGTTATGTAAATGTAAAATAATATAATGTATTTGTTTATTTTTTACTTTTCCACTGTAAAACGACCATTAAGCATACTGCACACGTCCGATGGAAACGTGTTGGCCTAGTTCCATTTTCAATAGGGTAGACCGAACGACAAATGACAACAAAAAAAAAAACCCCTATCTAGTTTGTAAAGTATATTCGCTAGCAGCTTTCATAAACGACCAACAATTACACTACCGACAAATTCAATTTAACCGCGTTGTACGAATAATTACTAATAGGATACGGTCGACCCTTTTTTGTTAAAGCACAACGCTCTGACTTGACCACCGTTTTGTAAACGTACGTTTAATTGACAACAATACTTGAAAGGCAACGGGCAAGAAGGGTAATAGTGCATTTTTGACAATTTGTTCACGAGACCATTAAAGTTAGTTTTAGTGTACAAAATATCTATGTCTCGAACCGTTTTTAAGGCGCCAAGTTGGCCCCACAGACTTGAATTCGCTGTTACAATTGTAACGAATAATGATTTTTTTTTTTTTCTATTTAGGGTTTTGAAGTTTTTGCAAACGCTTCGCGTCGTCCAGAAGAACGATCAGATCAGAGATAAACTCAAACAGTACAGAGAGGCGTACAACTACGGCACCGACGCCGGGGTGGGCATGGCCGAACAAGAAAACCTGGTCAACGCCGTTTGTTCGGAAGACCGCTATCCCTGCCGGAGTACCCAAAGGTCGTTGCAGAGAAGCACCAGAGCACTGGTCGGCGTTGCCGGATTCTGATAACGACTCAACCGATTTTCTTCCTGTTGTAAATAATACACTATTATTATGTTCATAATTTATTTATTTTTTTTGTTCAACGTTTAAAAACCGAACCGTTGAAATTATTTATTATATACATACATACTTATATATATATATGATCTAAATTGAAAAGTCCCTGCGCACTTTGCAGGTGAGCCATATTATACGAAAATAATCATCAAAAATATAATTTTGTAATAATTTATTTAATATTTTTCCAATCAATTATATCGTTTATACAAAAAAAAAACATATTGTTTTAGTATTTTTCAGCGTTCTATTTAGTTTCGTCTTTTAAGTTATTGATTATATACAGTGTATACCTAACGTTATTGATAATAAAACAATTATTTATAAACTGAAATTTTCTAAATAACGAAAAGAGGAACGAGCTCTTATTCGCGTGAAAATGAATTGAGAGAGTTCTTTTTAATAAAAGTTTAATAGAAAATTAAAGTATCGAAAATGAGAATTTTGACTTAGATGCTAGTGGTATGATCATGTTATACAGAATGCAGGTAAATGAATGATTGAAATGGTTTGGTCGAAAGAAGGGAAACAAAAACTATTTAAAAACGCGTATTAAAGATGAGCGAAAAGGGATGTAGAGGTACACCCGAGAAAAATCAGGTAAAAGATATAATTAAATCACTTGTGCATATAAAACACAATCTCTACACACTTATCTGGACTCTAGATCAATTCGATAGTCTTTGATAATACCGAGATTTTATGAAATAATAACTTTATTTTGTATTGCAAAGTATGGAGCACATCCTCTTTATGGGTACAAAACTAAAGTTCTCTAAATTCGTCTGCACAGATGGGACCTTTTTAGACCAGCCCATTGAAACTAGCATTGTATTACATCCTTTCCTAAATAAACGCATTAAACATATCATTGACAAAACGATATTATTGCTGTAAAAACATATATTATTGACTAATGTACAATGCACTGCATTCAGACTAGGCCAAAAGTGTGCGTTTCTTTAATAATACAAATGTGAACACCGCAATAATAACATGACCGATAATATTTATTACTAATTAATATAAAATATTCAAAAGGTAATTAGAATTTAGAATTTATAACATTTAAAATAAATATTCAATCTACGATCATCCCTTAGCCCCTTATTGTTTTACTTCTATTACAATCTGTTTGGGAAAAATATTTGGTGTGTTTTTTTGCTTCCACTGATAAAAAAGGATAGATCGGCGAATTTCAATTTTGACGATATTTCATTTACATACTTAAGCAACTTCATAGCGTTCATTTCGAGAAACTCAACCGGGCCATCTGGTAAGACTGCGGTGTCTAGGCTATTTGCAAATTCAATAAAAACTCCTTTGTCCGTCATTGTCGTTACGGTCGCTCGGTCTTCTGTTTGATTTGTGTTTTCGTCCAATGTTGTTTTCTTATCAGTCAAGTTTTCGTCCGTGGAAATTAATTCTCGATTTTTTCCATCGAATTCGTTCCATTCAAGTACAATCGCTTTGGTTTTGTCTTGCACCTGACCTATGACGTCGTCTAATTCGTGCGGGTTAAACGTTTCAAAATTGACAAAAACGGCCAACAGACTGTTTAAAAATTTGTCTCCAACGTTAAACAACTTAAGCGATTCGACGATTTTCGACGCCGAATCACTTTCGTCGATTTCCGAACGAACGCCGTCGTCCTGATTGCGATACACAAACAAATGCAACCGTACAAGACACAGAACGTGCACCTTGATGATATCCAAAAACATATGTTGGTACACTACATTGTCGTACGGGTTTGTTATCCAACTGCCGTTTTGAAATTGCAATTCCACTCGGTCCTGTTGTTCGTTGAGAGTTTTTTTCACCGTGTCCCATTGGATTTGGACACCGTGGACTTCTAGAAAAATTAAACCGATGTCGCGCCAAAACGGTTTCAAGAAAAATTGCTCGACGGCGGCGTACTCGTCGGAATCCTCTTGTCCGGGCGCGCCGACGCTTAAGGAATACGACTTCATAATTACATTGCGCAAATACTTGAAATCGTTTTCAACGTTGATCAGATTGTACTTTTCTTTGTAACCCTCGATCAAATAGCGGTGACGTTGGCACTGTTCGATTAATTCGTCCAGGTTCGCTTCGAGCGTGACAAATCCGAAAGTGTCTTCCGTCAAAACGGCATACCAATCTTCCCAATACGAAAACGCCACCAGTTTAATATAGAGTTCCCACAGCCACGTGTAAATCACATAGTTGCCCTCGAACGTTGTCTTCAAGAAATTGTCGTACACGAATTTCATGACTACGTGAAAACTGAATTTGGGCGTACCGTAATCCGCCCACAGCACTAATCTCTCGGCTAAATACTTAACGTGCGGAATCAAACACTGGAGAATCGCATAGTGCGTACATTGGAAATCTTGCATTTTTCTGAAATACTTCAACTGTATAAACTGTTTTTTGATCAACGAAGCGCTGTGATCTTTGGACGTCATTACCGTAATTTCGTTCGAATCGAACTCGATCTGATGGCTGTTCATTGTCTTAAACGAATTTAACGCATCGATGAAACGGCTATTGTATTCCCCGAGTTTACTATATCCTTCCAGATGTGGAGCCTACAACGTGAGACATCATCTTTAAAAATTATAATAATAGTTAGTTAACCCCTAACAACATATTTATTCAAAAAGAAAAAAATCATCGTACGTTTTACATAATAGTTGACCAAACGATCGAGTTCAACAGTCAACTCATAAATGAGTTTTTCACATAACAAATTGTCTATAGTCTTAGTTTTGATTTTTTTACCACAAACCGTAAACAAGATGAATACATTTTTGAAAAATTCTAGTACGTATAAATTTTATTTTAATTGTACATAACTTACTGAAAATAAAGTAAAAATATTATAACAAAAAAAAACGGTTGGTTTTATTATATTTTTTCGTTTGAAATTAAAATCGTTTTTTTTTATATTTAATTCTAAGAAAAAAATATTATAATATAATTTTTTTGTGGAATGTTTGTTGGAACTTGGTCATAACAAACTTATATGGTATTATAGTACAAATATTTCTGTGGAAACAGCTAACGACATCTATACAGATTCTTTTGAACTATACATAAAAACAATACCAACAAATGATGAGCAGATATATAAACAATAAAATGATATATAATCGTTCCAAAAATGAATCATTGTGCTAGTGAAGGGTTAAAATATATTTGTATTTCCTCATTTATGAAACCCAAAGACGCCTACAGTTGGTTGAATGCAAATAATAAATAAATAAAGAAGTAATGAAAAATATAACTCATCAAATAAAAGTTAAGTACAAAGTATAACAAAAAAAATGTATAACATTTTTTAAATTCGTTATTAACTGTAAACAACTCACCAGTTTCTTTAGTTTTTCGTTGTTATCTTTTATTATTTCCGACATTGGTAGGCTAATTTCTGTAAATGCTGTTATTTCGAAAACAACTGTAAGCAAAACAAAGAAAACGCCAAGTTTTTGTTTCATTTTGAATTTGGCTTCACGTTGTTTATTTTTTTTTTTTAAATATAACTATAAAAATGGTCAGACGCCCCAACTATAATTTAATAACAAACATAACTGACACGGTATGCGTGGTAAAGCTGTGTTTAAATTAACCGCGTCAGAACTCTTATAAGTACATTGTTTTTAGTTTCGTTTAGCATAATAATATTTTTTTTAGGCCTCCACACCATTTGCGTCTTCAGTAAATACTAATGTTTACTTGAACGTATCGTATAAATATTGAAAACCCTGTACTTCTGTGTAAGTATGCTTAAACATTTTGCCGCATGTACAGGGTGATCGATTTAACGGAATACATCTTGTTTTTTTGGAAATAATAGCTGCATGTTTTGCTCTTCTTCGACTATCAATATCTCTAACCGTACATATATTTTATAACATATTGAAATTAATACCAATACATTACAATAATAATATTAATCGATTCAAAACTATGTCAAAGGATATCGATAATGTATTTTAACTAATAGACTCTGCGGTATTGTTACCGGCATTGAGTGTAGTTTGGCGAGTATGCCAGGTAAACTTATTAGAAAGTAGACTGCCCCAAGTGACACTACTATGAAATATTGACAACAATAGTGCTGTAATTTCGTTTTTACGCCCACAGCTTCCGATACCTATAAATTTACGTTTTTCGAATGCACTAGACGGTTTTATCTATTATAATAGCCACAATGAAGTGTGAACTATCGTTGTAGCCGTTTTGGGCTAATGGTATCGCTGCTATTAATATCATACAAAAATCTAGGATAGGTCTTAGGGTTTTATCCAATTATTATTGTACTGGTAAACTATTTTCAAAAGTGCTGCTGTAAAATACACCTAATAATATGACAATGATAATATATGAAATATAAAATACTTGATAGCAGTCCTATTTTCAGACTTAAGTCCAAAACTACCAACAAGTGTAGGGGTTTTAGTTTGAGAGATTTGAACGGCTTATTGTATAATTGTATTTATTTATTTCTACGTCGTCCTGTGTATTAGATATAATTTTCTTTCAAACAGAAAATGATAAATTTTATTGGAATTCAAAATGTCTACATTGAGTTGATGAATGTATGTAAATAATATTGTTGTCGTGACCTATTTAAGTGTTGGTGTTAAAACTAATCGTGTTGACGATCAAGTGGGGATTGACTTAAGTTTTAGTTCCATCTTTTGTTTGAAAAAAATATATAAAAGTAAATACATTTTAAATATATTTGTTTAACATATTGAATTTGGCCTCAGATATTGTCTTACGCGATTTTTTTAAATGGCTTTCAAATTTATATGAAACAACTTACAAACCAAAAATCGCATTTTTCTCATTTATAAAAACTGTGTAAAAAATGTGATAAAAATTAATCTCTATTATTTTTGTGTGGATCTAATTATTCAAGACGAAGAAACTGCACTCACTTGGTCGATATTAAAAATTGTTTATCTAAAAGAATAAAATATGTTGCTATATTTGTCCAAAAAAACGCAGTCATATAATTATGCATTTTTAAGTAAAAATTGAATAAACAGTTATACACATTTTTCCAAACCCACAGGGTTAGTTTAAAAAATCAGCCATTCAATGTCATCACAGTTGTTTTTAAAATGTTAAAAAACGTATCGAACAGCTGATACATTGAAGTAAGTGATAGGGTTGTTTTTTAGAGAATGATACTCTTGTGCAAGTTCAATCTGCAACGAAGCAAATGACTTTTATAAATAAATATAGGGTGTTTAAAATAGTAGGAAATAAATGGGGAAAACTGGAAAATAAGATTTAAACGTAAACTTTACCGAAAAAAACAATTTTCTAAGTTTTCACCGATATATAATATGATAAATTCTGATTAACTTTACACTACTTTTAGTCGTTCTCGTTGTGCTGTTTTTATTACTTAAACAAGAATAACAAACTTTTCGAACCTCTCAAAGGAATTCGATTCACTTAGGCTTCATAAACTTTTAAGTGGTTCGCAATTACCACACACTTTAACAGCGTTGTTGCGGATATTACATTATACGATCGTTGTAAAATCTAATTAATATATGTACTATTTCAATATACTAATGACAAGTAAAGTTTTCATACATAACTTCTCAACTTTTCTCGGTTACCCGGCTACGATATAGTCGTTGTGTTAATTGATTAGGTTGTGTTAACTGTAATTTGTAAGTACACGTTTCAAACGTCGCGGAAAACCATCTAAACATTTTCAATTTTCATTTTTGGGGGGTTTTCCAAAATATAAAAAATGTTGACTACAAATTTTTGAGAAAATCGTATATGTTATAGCCCACACTAGGTATAGCTTCGGTCTAATTTTACCTTAGGTTTGTTTTCAAATCTTAAGCGCTAAAATTACAGTTGAAAATGAGAAATAAAGAACAAGTTTCCACTTCTTCCGGCGGAATAGGTTTTCGATATATTTTTGCTTTGTCAACGTTTATCGGTAAAACTAAATCAAAACAAAATTCCATACAAATTTGCAACTAGTTTGACAAACGCACGGACAGACAGTGGCGTGCGCAGGAATTTTGTATGGGGGGGGGATGCCATAGGCTAGTACAAAGATTAACGAAAATGTATTTCAATCTGTGATGTTTAAAATATAAAAAAAAGTCCCATGGGGGGATATATCCCCCATCACCCCCCCCCCCTGTATACGCCACTGCGGACAGACAATAATAATTATTATATTATCGAAAATCGTGCACGCGTTTGATATGGGACGACAGTGATAATTATATTATATTGTATATTTTCTTTTTGCTTTCCCATATTATGTTATTGCAATAATTAATATACAAACAGTTATTGAGCACTGATGCGATTCTACGGTTTCTATACATATGTGACGACGCCACACACTCTCGCTTTTAATGACTATAATATAATAACTATCCGACGGCGAATTTTTAACCATTAATATGCATATACATATATTGTTTTTATACTCGACTAAATGTACGTGCAATTAATAACGGAAAGAAAAATCACATGAAAACTCGTCGTATTGTTCTCAATTTAAGTCAATTATCCAATAATTGTTGCTCCTCCTCCGAAGACACTATTGTTTTTGGCTTGTGGTCGCCGAATGTGGTTAAGAGCAACTCAACATCGTCGGACTTGGGACAGTCGCAGTTCATCTTGCACACCAGAACCAGAAGTCTCGTGCGATCGAATTTCAATACTGAACTTTGTTTTTGTTAATTTTTTTCCAGAGTGATTTTGTTTTTATACTTCTACACCGAAAACCTTAGGTACTCGACGATCGACGATGGTACGTATTCGTGGGATAGTAAGAGGTAGTTACAGTTTGTGAGATTTTGATCTAATGCTAGACATTAAAAAGCATGTGCTTTGTTAAATAAATCTAGGTTATTGTATTGTTTAACCCTGCAACGCATGATTTTCTGTTAAAAAAAAATAATAAAAAAATATATCTTATTTTACACATAACTCGTTTAGCTAATTTAATGCTTGTTGCCGATTGACAACGTTGTGCACGAATGATGCAAAAAATAAATTACTTTAAAAATTATTATCAAGTGCCGATTTCACAGAGGTAAAAAAATATTAAACGAGTTACGATTTACAAAAAAAAGTAATCAAGTTCTTACTCAACCAAGTAATTATGACTCTTTATACAAATTTTTATAAAATAATACATTTTTAATATAAAACCTAATTACATTATTTACACGACAGATCATAAGTATACTTTCAACTTTGTAACCATTATCTTTTTAATTAATTATTGTAAGTACCAATTATTATTGTAATAATGCATTTATGTCAGGTGCCCGACTAGTGATAAACAACTGATGATAAATAACACAGTTAACGTGGTTACAAGTGTTATTTGATACTAAAATGTACCGTTTTCTCGTGAGACGGAGTATCCATTATATATTATATTGCCCTTCGTTTTGCAGATTTAAAAAAGTACGACTTCCATCGCAGTTCAGTGTGAATTTTTTTGGGATCTTTTTGTGTTTTGGTTGTTTTGCAAAGATGACCACCGTATTGCCTTGGCTGTTGTCCGTAGCGGCTCTGTTGGACTTCGGGTGTCCTGCCGAAGTGGCCAAAGACTTGCGGGCGAACCGCACGTCCAAGGAGCTACACGCCGGCGAGGGTAAATCGCTACCGGACGTAGGCGACCGGAAGTGGACTTCCGACGTGTATCACACGCTGTCGTCGTTGACGCCGGACGTGACCGTTGACGCGGTGGCCACGGCAAACACAAAGTCTTCGGTTTATCCGCCCCTGACCACCGGCTCTCCTTCGTTCGTCACCCGGGGCCGGTACATAAGGAACCCGTACTATTACAACAATAAAAATGACCAGGAAATGGAAATCGCAGACGAACAGCACGCGGACGTGGTGATCAACGCCGGAGTGCCAAGGTGGAACCGGTAAGTCCAAGTACAGTTCCTTCGTCCCGGACAAGATACCGACCATACAAGTTAGGGGTGTGCGATTATTCAAATATAAAAATACAAAATACAGAATTATATAAAAAAACGGTTAATTCGAATTATTTATTTAATTAAACTGACGAGATTTTATTCAAAAAATGAACAATTGAAAATAATCAACATTTTGTTTTTTCTCGACACATAACTTAAAATTCTATCCAAGTATCGCGAGTTATTTCAATCTTGTAGGTTGTAATCTGGTTTTCATTGGAATAATTAGTAAATCATAATACTTTAATGTATTAAAGTACATTATTTCTCGCACAACCCCCAAAAAAATCGACTAGGATTATTTTTATAACATATGAAATGTGTTTACTTCTGTTAAATACTATAAAATAATAATTGTAACTAAAACGTCTCTCCGAAAAGAAATTCCACAAAATAGAAATTATTTCCTGAGAAAACAAGTGGAGGGCTGTGGGGAAAAAAGATCAATGTCAATTTTTTAACATTCTAAGAAAATCTTATTTTTAATTTCAAAACGTAATACATTTTGCCGGTATGCCTAAACTTCCGGCGGTCGTTACTCTCGACTAATCTATTTTTTCCATGGTTCGAGCGCATAAAAGATACAATACATCAATACAAATAATTCGATACCAAAATCTCATTTTCAAAAAAAATTGACATTGATCTTTTTTCTCCGCAGCTCTTCAAGTGTCTAACCTAAATGGATCACATTGTATTTAGTTAAAAAAAAATAATTAAAAATAACTTTTCTATGTACTTAAATCCGCTTATAAAACGTACACTCTTTAATTCTAATTTTTTTTTTTCTTACATTGTGAACTATCCTTATTGAATTTTAGCTTTAATTCATTACACTTTATTGGCCTTGTTATATACATATGTATATCTTGAACATGTGTCAGATTGATCAATGTAGGATTTTTAGGTTTTTTTTTTTTAACTTAAATAAATTAGAAAGATCCGATTTCGGTTACAGATATAATATCAACCACAGACAACTAAACAAATACGGTCCAGCGCCGGTGGAGGCCGATATAACAGTGGACGAAGACGGTTCCACTGGCTATGGAAGCACTTTTGACTACGTCGGAGGTTCCGGATACGATTCTGGGAGCAGCATGAAAAACGCTGGCGGATGGGTAGGCGGCGACAGCATGGCCGGATGGTACAGCGAGCCGGTTTCCCAGCACGCCAGACCCGTTCCCATCATAGCTGAAATCCGGCACCCCAGTTCGAAAATGGGATTCGACATGGGGAAAATCGGCATGTTGGCTATGATCAAAATCGGACTGGCCAAACTCAAAGCGCTGGGTTTCGTCAAAGCGTTGCTGCTCCTGCTGTTGAAATTGAAATTCTTCCTGGTGTTGTTGCTGTTCAAGTTCCTGATGCTGTTGAAAATGATGAAGCTGCTGAAACTGCTTTTGCTGCCGTTCCTGTTGTCACTGGCGCTTCCGCTTCTGTTGCCGTTACTGTTGACCATATTTCCGCGTCTTATGCGTTTGCTGTTTTTGCTGTCCCAACCGGCGTTGGTTCCGAACACCAACACCAACACCACGCCCAACCCCAACGAAACCCTGCAGAAAAGAAGAAGTCACTTAGATCCGATCGAGCTGCTCGATCCCAACTTGGCTCAAATCAGAAACATAGTGCAGTCGGAGAAATGCATCCAACGAATCGCTTGTCGATTGGCCGGCACGCAATCCAGCTTCACGTCTATTTGGACTAATTGGTAAGTATCGTCTCGGATTGATCTGGGATAACGGAAGCCTTTAAAAAAAGAATACTTCCTCCTCTTCAAGGAGAACATGTCGATTATAAATATGTTTTATAGTGGCATCCACCTAATTTTAACTGAACGTTCCACGCGATAGTTTATATTAGAAACGAGTGGTAAGGAAGTGCGATTAGATAATATTGAGTTATTTTTCTATTAAAAAAAAAATGATCTAAAATTCAGACAATATAAGACAATAATTAAATGGTAAAAATATATATTTTTCTTATTAACTTCGATTACAATACAATACTATTGTATGATTATTATTTTTGTGCTCTGACTGTTCCATTTGTGTGTACAAAAATTATACTAAAATATTTGTTTACAGGACGTTACAGCAAATGTCAAAGTACATTCCTAACAAACGACTTGAGTCGTATGTGACAACTTTCAATGATGTGAGTGATCGTCGCTTACAACACCTGTTGGGTGAATCTTCACCACCAGACGATTGGACAAAATGGTGCACAGAACAATATGATTGCGACGAAGCTACAAATAAACTAGAAACGTCAGAATAAAAAAAATTTATTTATTTTACAACTATTTTTAAATTATATAATTTATTTTAATGTTAAGATATTATTACGTATTCCACACGGAAATATTATGATTTAAACATTTTCCTTAGCAAAATAATAGTCTTGACAAGAATGTTTCAATAATATACATTTTTTTTAAAAATGTATACTTGCTATGACATTTAAAGCCACAACCCTCGACAAAACATTTAGTAAATATTTATATTTAAAACATTTCCATGTTAATAGGACTTATTATTTATTAATAGCAAAATATATACGACATTCTTCTTTTAAAAAAAAGTTTATTTTTGTGTCTGTAGACACAATAACTTTTTTTCTGTGAACCGAATTACTCGTGTAGCACCTCTACAGATCCAGAATCGTATACCGATTGTACTTTGGTGTGTCAAAAGTAGATAAATTCAACTCCTTTAGTCCTAAAACCAGGAAAAACCGAAAAAAAATGTTGACCAGTTTTTCAACCGTCAACTTTGAGAAAAGGTGGTAGGAAGTTTTTGTGTTTTTTAGAATTTAAGAGTTGAACATTACTCATTAGTCTAAAGATAGGTCTAACATAATAATATGCATATGATATGTGTAAACAAAAAAAAATGTGTATATAATGAAAAAATCCAAAAAGTGACTTAAACACTATAAATGTAGACTTAAAGACTATTATGGGTAAAAAAACTTGAAATTTAATATATGACCTGTTATGTAATCACAAAATAAGTATACCAAAACAATTTTAACATTAAAAAAAAAATTGTAAATTACCGAATCCGTGTCTCTCAAAATGTTTTTGTAATATTTAACATATTGTTAAGACGAACGCTGAGCGAAAGAGGGAGTATGACGAGTGAGAAAGAGCCAAATAAAACAAAAATTGTTCCAGAATTTTATATAATTGCGTATAATTTATTAAATTGTAATTACCCCTTGTTTACCACAAACTACATGAAACAAATGTCAATAACAAAGAGTTATCGTGTTGTCACTGGTACATTGTGTGTATAATGCATTTATAAAAATTCTTGTACTGTATGAAATTTAATTGGTTAAAAAAAAATATAACTGTATATTATGTCGGTTTAGCTGAATAAATGCGTAAGAAACGAATTCGACAGTATAAAAACAACACCAGCAACTCTGTTAAGAAGATGGAGTAGGGTAGACTTTGATATTATCTTGCAATGTATTATAAGAAATGAAGTAACACGAAAAGACTGACGATTGCGTACTAAAAAACTGTCGGATAAAAAAATGTCATCTAGATTTTTTATGTTTACTTAAAAAATATTATTAATATTCAATTCAATCTGCATTGAAGAATACAGCTCGAAGGTCTTTGAAGACGATAAAAATCCGTTGTGAAGCCTTTGGAAACTTGCAGTAACATAAATGTAATATTCGCGTGCTTTGTCGTCAATAGGATAAAATGTAAATAATAAAATAAAATGCATTAATGTGTTTTATGTACGGCCGATTAGAAAAAATTCGTTATTATTCTACTGTTTATAACGATAATTATTTCAGATGAGAATAATAATTTTAGTAGAAAACATCACGCTGTCAGCGTTTATTTTTGAAAATTGTCTAGTAGAGATCACGCAAAATATGTTTTACACTAACATGCTAACGAGAGCCGCCCGTAACTGGAAAGCGTACGTCGGGCAGGGTTCATCAAAAATCTGCGCTATGTCCATCTCGATGTGGCCGGAGTCAGTGAAAACACTGATGAAGTGACGTACCCGTATCTGAGGAAAGAGTTTGCTACAGGGCGCATGACAAGGACTCTGCTGCAGTTTATCTATCAATTGTCTCGTCCCCATGACCTCTACAATGATTGAAACAAAATTTGTATATTATAAGAATTGATTATAAGCCAAATCACATACTAGTTTTTATTTTAACAAATATATACATATAAAAAACGTATTAAAACATTAAACTCAAAATGATTATTATACAATAACAATAGTTAATAATAGTAAATAAGAATAAACCGAAAATTATATTTAAAAAAAAGCAAAAAACATGTGAAAATACAGGGTGGGGCGGAGCCGACTGACGAGTTTTGAAGGGCAATAAATAACGATTAGTAGAACTTAGAAAAAATCTGTTTGTTTTATTAAAATCAGCGTGAAATCCTGTTTTTGAAGTTATATTTTTTAAATTATACCTCCAAGATGGCGGTCGTCAGCAGCAATATATTGCTGTAGCCGATAATTGGAGTTTACTCAACGATCTTTGGATCTGTGAATAAACAGAAGTTTCGATACTGGGCTGAAAATAACCCACGGAAACTCCATGAAAGACCATTCTACTCCACTAAAGTGACAATGTCCTAATTTGGGAAATACTGTGTCCCAATTTGGGATGATCGGACGGTACTTTTTTGAGGATAGGTTAGGTTAGATAAAAAATAATAATAGATTTAAATCCAAATTTTTTTTTTTTAATTACCATGTTTTCTAAAGCGTAGACTTTTTTCGGAAAATTTGGAAATTAAATGGTGATGCAATTACCATTCTTTTTTAGTAAATTATAATCAATGACTAAATTAAAACCAACAGTCATCACTCATCCGCCTGTTCTAAATAAAAGCTACAGTTGGGAATGAAAGATAAGTATAGACTATCAATAAGATTCTTTGACATGTCAATATTATCAGCAATGAGTTTCTAACTTGAGGCTCAATACAATATATTCGACATTATAAATTTGCAATATTGTCAAACAGTCAAATGGTCTAATAGTTAAATATCTTTTAGGAGGTATTTGTCAATACTAAAATATGTAATAATATAATCTCCCAAAAAAAACCTATTGAGTAGAAATACCAGACTCAAGATTTTCAAACTCAGATGATGTGATAAAATGCAACTATTAATTTTGTTATCGTTTTTTTTTAATTTAAAAATCTTTTACTTTTTGACGTTTATATTATAATACTGAAAATTTCAACTTATTGATTGGAAAATGTTTATTATTATAAAAAAACCAACAAAAATATTATTAAAATATTAAACATATTATTTACAAAGTATTGACGATACAGCATCTGTTAACACGTTTCAAGGATTTGCTTATAACAGTATCTTTACAAATACTATGTTCATGTTACAAAAGTTCTAATAACAAAATAAAATCACTATTGTAAGAATATGAAACTATGTTCTATTTAACATGGGTGTTTTATTTTTAAGAAACGTGTATCGTTTCGAATAACATTGCTTTTTGCGTCATACAGCTCATACTTAAATAAAACTGTTTATACATAGCCTAAATAACACTTGCTAAATAATGTATAATATTATGTTCGTTAATATTTTCCTTTGTACATTTTAAGGTTGTCTATCGTAAGACTTACAGTGTTGTTCAGAATAAAAAAATGTCATACATCATTATGCAAAAAGTGTCCGTTTTTTTTATAGCTGTTATTATCATGGAAACATCTTTGGGTAATTTTTATTTGAGTTTTTTACAATAAATTTTCAGACTGGCTGTACAATAACCCCACAGTTATGATTTTATGGTATCTACTTAAAAGACATTGGACGTTGAATAAAGTTTAACATAATCACATGAACATATTTTCTTTACAATATTTGAAATGAGAAGAATGAATTTATATTGGTATCTAATTTTGTTGTTTACATTTAGTCACACAAGGTCTGCCAAAACGATCGAGTAAGTAACAAACATAAATTAATTTATAAATTTAGCTATATTTTTTTATAATTTTTTATATTCAACTTTTACATTTGTACTTAATCATTTTGTAATATTACCGTGAAGTAATATTAAAAGAAGATAACAGTACAAAAACTAAAAAAAAATACTTGATAAAAACAAAGATTTATTTAAATTCTAAATTGTAATAGAAATTATATAATTCCTATATAAATTATATAGGAAATAAACAGTTTTCTTTAATTTTCCGAAAATTAGGTGTTGAGGAATATTATCCCATTTCCACTCAGTTGTTCAATTGTCTTGACTGTAATGTTTGGTAAAAGAAAAGATAATTTAGATAGTTTAGAGTTTAACTAGATAAAATAATATTGTGTGTCATACATATTTTATAAAATCATTGAATATAAAATTAGTTGTTTAGATTATGAGTTTATATGTTACTCCATTGTTAGATGATACAACGTTATTCAGAACTACTAAGTTTCATTATTACAAGATTTATACTCCCCCCGTTTTATTCTTTTTATAGCTGTAAATAATATTTTAGGAATATTTTTGGGCAATAAGTGTTTGTATTTTTTTATTACTAATGCATTCTAATGTTGACTTCTTTGTATTAATTTTTTTATAGTGCCTTCTGCAAAAAAATAAAACAAATGTTTGCAAGGCTCTATTAAAGGTTTTACATATTATATTTTAACAGCTTGCGAACGAGCCCGCAACACCACGGGATACATTTTTTAGTAAACATAGCAAGTTTCTGACTAATATTTTAATGTTTTCATAATATCTGGCCCAAAACAATTCATAGAGAATTTGGCCCCTGAAATTATTGAATTTATTATTTATTTCTATTTTGAACGTTGTGAATACAACATATATGCCCCCACCCCCATTCCCACCCCAAACCCCAACCCTCATTATGTGTAAAAATAAGATAATTTCCCGTTTTTTCGGCTGTGGGACTACAATAATAAACGGTTTGTTTTTCATCACTTTTTAGTTTTTACTTTGTTTCATTTAATTTTGTTTGGTCAATTCTACTATGGTACAAAAGTATCCTCGATTAAAGCTAATTTATTTTGGACGTCTTAAATATTTTGTAAATATATTTCAAGATGTTAGATTGCTAATATCTCTCAAATCGTACATGCTTGAAAAAATTTAAACATATTGTATAATAATACACCTACTCTCTCTCTCTCTTATGTTTAACGACCGTTATTCCCACCAGTCGGGGCTTAGATGGTTTAGATTTGGCCTAACGCTACATTCTATGTCCATCATCCATGACCATGTACATTGTACTATACATCAAACTTAAAAAAATTATTAACAGTTAATAGAACATGTTTTGATTAAAGGGAACACAAATTCACTTTAGACAAGTTTAGTGCGATATTATTGTCAATAACTTATAGGTACTTAGGCATAAACAGTTAGTACAGTTGTGGGACTTTGATATGATTACATCATTTTGTGCTAATGTTTTTCAGAAACTCCTGTTGGTGAATCCAGTATTTCAGGGTTGCCTGCAGAAAAACCTCCCCAAAAAAAACAAAAACGTTCACCAAAAATTGATGTACCTGCGTTAAGTACAGATAAAAACATAAGAGGAAATCAGGCCGAACTACCAGTTAATAATAAAACTTCTGGAAAAACTTCTTCGGAACATGAAATGCTAAAACAATTGTCCAATGAACAAAAAGCAAAAAGTAACTCGAAAGCCAACATTTTGAATGAAATTTCACATATTGGGCCACAACTCTTTCAACGTTATTCAATGGAAATGGCGGCGGGTAAAAATTTAAGCGGAAATCAGACTAAACTATCAGCTACTCCCGTTGGTAAATCCAGTATTTCAAGGTTGTTTGCAGGAAAACCATGCAAAAAAAGACAAGACCTTTCACAATTAATTTATATACCTGCATTAAGTAAAGCTGAAAAAAAAAGAGGAAACCGGGCAAATCTATCAGCTAATATTAAAACATTAATTTTTAAATATTGAATACATTTATCCCTTGCCGTAAAATTAATAGAAAAATATGTACATTTTTAGGGTCGGTAGAATTTTTTGCTTAATTAAGTACTTTTTGAGTATGATTTTTAATCAATAGATTTTCTAAATGAAAAAATCGGTGGTTTTAAAAGCTATCGTGAGTACATACACAAAAAAATTATTATTCTAAAATAAGTTTTTAAAATATTTTGGGTCATAATATTTATATAATTGTTTTGTTCATTGTTCTAAATTGGTTTAATTACGTTTTCTCAATAAAATTATAGTCGAGTTTCATATTATTTTCAGTTTATAATAATTATATTATACTTGACTTATTTTCCACTACTAAGTGATTGTATATTATAATCCAAAAAGAGTGAAATATTTTTTAGACTTTTTCGCTAGAATTTTTATTGTCAATCAATTAATCGTTTCGAAAATATAGATTTCTATTAGAATATAATATACTATTGTAAATTGTTGTGGTTTCCTTTATCGCGGTTTTCCACTACGGCGTTCTCACGGTTAACTAAACTAAATAAGGACTAAAAAAGGAAGTTGTCGATCAATGATCAATTTGGGGGTTTCCTCATGAAAATTGCCAATAAGAACCCAACGATATTAGTATAAAAATGGACTATAAGTAAAGTATTACATTTTTTTGGAAACAAAATAATTTTTGCAAAAAAACGTCTTTTGGTGGAGGGAAAAAGTAAAAATGTCGACATTGAAAACAAGTAGATTTTGCAAAACATATTATACGACAATTTTTTGTATCCGTTTTTATTATTATTATATGGAAATAAATTTAGAAAACCCCTAAATTTTTATGATTGAAACAACATTTGAAAAATTGTCGAATTTTCCTTTTTCTCTCTAAAGCGTATAACAGCAGTAATTTATTAACAAATACAAATGAAAAATACCATCGAGACTGAGTTGGTCAGAAAAAAGTATCTGTGGTTGAACTGAGTAGTACAAATATATAAGAAACAGTACATGACTTTTTTTAAACAACAATTAATACTAAATAGTAATAAACACTGAACATTTTAAAATAATAGGTAATAATATCAAAAATTAAAATTTAATTAACGTTATACAATTAAAGGCAATAATAATATTAAAAAGTTAGGTTTATAATTACTGTATAATAATATGTTTCTTTATAATTTATTCTTTCTCCGAAATTTTTCCTGTTGTTTTCAGAGTTTTTCAACAAAAACTAGACTTCAAGTAGATGTAGAATGAGGCTTGTAGGATCACCTTAAACATCTGTAGTCGAACTTATTTTTGATTAGGAAAAAAATCACGGAAAAAGGGGGATATTACCCTTTGACCGTAGTAAATATTTAGTTAAGTAATTAATAAGTAAAACCGTGTGCTTGAAATCATTAACCTCAAGTTTGTGTTTCTCAAATCTGTCGTCTATATACCCTCAAGAGACACGTTAAGCACTGGATATTGACCGTCTAGACTTCTTATTCATTCGATAAGCATTTTTGTTTTTACTAACGTTAAATTTAACTAAATAAAAGACTAGACTGAACGTGTTTAAGACGCACAACCGTCACGGCCGACGTGATTCTGTCAGAAAGAAAGAAATCTTCCGTCTTTCTTTGCCGTCCAACTATTATTGTTATAGATGTACCTATATATATTTTTCGTGTTGTGATATTTCATATTATTTTCCTGTTGATAATAATAATTATATTAACCATCTTCTCCCCCGCTACCAACAGGAGGTTGCCAATAGTCATGAACCGTTTGACACCTTCAAACTTGGCAGTGGCAGTTCGCTTTCATTATACTCGACGGACGGATTGAATTGGTAGACAATAAATAATAATAATAATAAATTTAAATCAAATGATTTTTTTAAAATAAAACTCTAAAAGTGAAGTCGTGCGTTTAATTTTTAACGTCACTTGTTTGTAAATTTCATTAAATTAAATGGTAAGAACGATAGTAATTATTTTACTGAAAAGTCTGACTTATTAATGAAGAAAAAAAATATAGTTTTAATACAAATTTATTGTTTACTTAAGTGCGTGTAATTAATATGTAAACCAAACGTTTTTCATCAAAAAAATGTACATGATTATTTGAATATCGAGTCGGCTTTATTATGTTTTTATAGGTAAGAAAACGAGCAAAGTTTGTACAAAATAAAAACGAGTTTACAGTTGTGTATTTAAATTTTTACACTTCATCAGTTTATTTTTGAAAATAAACATCAACTTTTGAAATTTAAAATCTTTGTTTATATTTGTTACATAAATTGCAAAAATAGTTTGGTAATCAGTGTAAGATTTTAACACTCTTAACAGCAGCACTTGTATCTTATCTCAACGACAATGCAATTTTTTTAAGGAAATAATCGTCAAATTGTGTTCAATTTTTGTTGTCCGTCTCTACTAACCCTCAAATTACTTGAATTAACCTTAAAAGCTTCACAAAACACCTTGTTTTTTATTATTATTTTATTTCTTTTAACAAAATGCATTCAATTTTCAGTTCAAAGTTAATATTTACTTGATAAATTAATTTGGTTTTAATATTTTAATGTAACTACAAAGTTATATTAAATTCAAGTAAATAAATACAAAACTATTAAAGTTTTTATACCAGAAATACTGAGCCTAACCAAATTACTTTTTATGTTTTTTTTTCTTTGGACAGAATATATTTTACTAAAAGCCATTAAAATACCGAATAATGTTATTCCAACTTTAAAAAAGTATTTTCAGTTACCTAAGCAATATTTTTGTCGGGGTATCCCACTTTTGTAAAATCATAACAATACATTAAAAGGAATTTTTTAGTTTGAATGAATTTCATCAAAAATTGAATAAAAAATTAATTAATTTTACTAGATGAATTAACGAATTTAGTACTAAAAAATGTCCAAAAATACAAAAAAAACGCCAAAAAGGTTACCAACACTTAACAGTAAAACTAAAGTTTAAAATATTTATTTATTTGTGATTTAACAACAATTGTTTAATGTTGTTTGTTAAAGAGTAAAACGATACAAGGTAAGTTTTAAATTGATTTTTATTCATTAATCAGAAGAGCACGCTTTATAATACTTTTCTTACATGACATGTTTTTCTTGTTATATAAATCAAAATCCAATTTGTATTTAATTTCTATCCGTAAAGTTCATCTTGTGCTGTATAGTGTATACAAAGTATAATTTATATAGGTCCAAAACGATTCAGAAATGGTCTTCTTTAACTTATCCATTACAAAATTGCGTTCATTTCTAAAAACCAAAAAGTATTTTTTTTTTTACTATTTTATTTACTTTTACAATATTTCTGGACAAATTACAAAACATGGCGACCTAAGGATATAAATATATATATTATTTTTTTAGCAGCTTTGTGGCCATTATAAAAATGTCCAAGTTACAAAAATTAAAAAATAATTAAACCGTCTATACATTAATTAAACATTTCGACAAACAAAACGAGGATATTTTTGTTTTATAATTTTTAAGTATAACTTATTTTTTTGAAAATTTAGAACTCTAATTAATTAAAACTATTTTTAATTAACTATATTAAAACTCCAATATTATAACCCATAATTCAATTCACTTTTGTTACTTTCGCATTATAGGTGGGCAGAGAGTACAATTGAATCTGACATAAGTCATAAAACTGAAATTTTAAACTAATAATAAAGAATTTACTCATTTGGCTTTTTCGTCTATTTATAATTCTTATTAAATAAGTCTTTTAAATAGTGTGTTGCAAGTATAAGTAATTTGTTATAAATAAATATAAAAAAAAGTTGACAGAAGTTATTATATTTAATTATTAAAAATGTAAATGATCAGATAACCAGAGGCTTATCCGAAGGAGTTGGAGAGTCATAACTAACCATTTTGATGTAAAAAAATAGGTCAACCTAACACAAAGATATTACTAATAATATTGCACAAACTTGTGATTTTTTTTTAAAGCAAAATGATAATAAAAAAGGAATTTATTATTGATATAAATTTCACAACTTCAAAAGTCCAGAATACTTGAAAAAAAAAATAAACTCTAATAACTTATTAACATAACGTAATAAAAAAAAAACAATAATTAATAACAAAAACAGTTAACATTTTTTTTTTTTAATAACTAGTTATAAAATATAATATTGATTTGTATGATATGTAAAAATGTATCAACATAACTATCGAATTTGATAAAATGATATTTTTTTTAAAACGGCGGCTTAAGTCATTTTTCACTATTAAAAATAAAACAGAGCTATGTGTATGAAAGTTACTCGGTGTCGTTAAAATCATTATTATCGATACTTTTTCGATTTTCAAATACAACATTGATAAATATATTTTGTAATACCTGTATAATAATATAAAATATATGTTTCTGAATGTCTACGTGACCCACCTGATTCTTATTGTGGTCATTGTCTGGACTAGAAGTCTTACATTAACGTCTTTAACCACCACAACAATATGTTACTGCCAACATATAATAATTGCTTTATTGTTATTTTTAAATACAAATAATTTTTTTTACATGAGTTTTACCTGAAAAAAACAATTTTTTTTCCCTTAAAGAATTTCGGCTTAGAGCTGTCATTTTATTTATTTCTATACAAATATCGTCACCAGGTTTTCAATAAAAAATCTGCCTTTTGTCTTTTTATGGCGAGTTTTTAAATTGCACGCAACAATTTGGTAGCTATATATAATATTAAGAATACCCTGAATACTTTTGACATAGTTTAACATTTCTTTTATAAAATTATTACTTTTTAAAAGTGTACTCGATTTTATAAGAAACACATAGTTGGGTATTACTCCAACTCAACGTTTTAATCTCAATAATTATTTCAATGTAATTTTTTTTTGCGTTTCATTCGTGATTTTTTTACTCCTTGTTCGATAATACATTATTTAATTACTTACTCATCCATTATAGTTTAATTTAAATAATCTAAAAAAAATGAATAACTATTTACTATTCGTATCCGTAAACAAGACACTGTAAAAATAAATTTGACAATAATTGAATACAAATTTAGTTTTTTTTTTATATTCGATATACTTACTTTGTGTTTAAATAATATACTATATATTAAATTTCAAGTTTGTAAGCCCATAATTGCCTTCAAAATCTATATTTATAGTTTTTGTGTCACTATTTGAGGTTTTTCAAAATAAAAATGATGTGTCACAGATAAAAGCATGATTTTAGTCTAATTTTAAGCTCTGTTTTTTGGATTACTTATCGGATTACTGGTTCGGCCTGTTCGATAACAAAAAAGAGTATACTATATTAACTAAAATGGCTTTTACTCATAGACAAAATTATTTAAATTAAAAATAATACCATGAAGCTTATACAAATTAAACGGTAAATTAATTGACATGGTCGAAATTAACTAAAAACCACTTTTTTCTTAAATATTGCCTACACAAAACTCCTTAAAAATGGTCGGTATCCAGGGGCCTTAATACGAAGCTGAGAAGGTATTAGTTTTACAATGATGTAAAACTTCATTTTTTTTAACCCCCTTTTTTTTGTGTAATATATTTCCTTTAGATCAAAAATTGTATGCAAAAGGTACTTTAATGGGTCAAAAGTCAAAAGTTGAAAAAGTCAATTTCTTCACTCCCAAAACCGAGAAATTCCAAAAAAAACCTACGTTATTATTGTAGTGTATCATACATTATTATCAATGTATGAACCTTTGATGATCTCAATGATAATGGCAAAATAATACTTGAAGAAATACTATATAATAATAATTAATGGTTGGGTCCAACATAAATTTAATATTAGTTTAAAAAATACAAGATAAATTTTTAAACGGCTTGAAATTATAAATTATCGTTTAATTATGAAATATTAAATTCCTTATAAGTTTATCATCCCTTATCAAATACTATTTCAATCATGCCTCGTCGCTTTTGTTGGGATTAGAATACCAAAAACCCATTAAATTATAGAATTTCCTTGTTGAAATATTATAAGTATGATTAGTGATTACACATATTTTATTATCAACTGTCAATTTTATTTGAAAAATAATAAGTACTAAAGGTTAAATTTTAATATGCAGTAAATAATCACATTTTATTTTGTGATGAATGGAAATGTCCAACAAAAACCTAACAGTGAAAAAGGGCCAAGTTATCTACGTTGTGGCCAAGTCTGCTATTTATTTAGTTCATATCCTCACTTCACTCCTACTTTCATGAGCAACACGCTATTTGTATTTCTCAACACTTGACCAGTTTCTGAATGAGACACGACCTTAATGATTCAGAAATTTTGAACGAGACATAAAACAGACTTGGCCGCAATGTAGACACCAATTACCACTACTTTGATTGGCTGACTTTTTTGAGAGGGGATCTGAACCATTTATCTTTTCTTCTAAGTTATCTCCTTCCTTTTACCCACGTAACTCATAAGTGAGTACATTTCAGAATGATGTTTTATGCTTCATTCTAAAGGCTTCAAACTAAAGGATCAATTTTTTACAGTATCCTAAGCTACTCGAGCTTAATCTATGTTTTAAATTTCATAAGCTTATCTTAAGAGGATACACTGGCATTGCTGGAACTTGGTCTGACCCACTGCCGTGTGTTCAGATTATACTAATATCTTGCAAAATGTGTTTTTTTTTAATCTTTTATGTTAACTCTTGAAACAAGGAAACGGCGTTTGAAGTGTAATAAGAACAAAAACCTCAACGCAATATGTGGGATGTATTTCTTTTGAAGATTTTTTCCCCTCCAAATACTAACCTAGGTTTTTTTTTTTACAAATACTGTACACAAGCGTGACTCCGTATCACTGCCAATTATAAAATCGATTACAGAATTTATTTAGACCTAGTTACATTACTTTGAAACGCACTTGTTTTGATTTTCACCGGCTGTCAATGTCTGGACTAATTGAACGAATTCCAAAACTGTATAGTAATTCTATTGTAGACACATTTCCGAAAAAACCAATTCGAACAATGGCCAAAACATATAATTTACTCAGTTCGTGTAAATACGTGATTGTCTTTTTTTTTTTTTTTTACTGAAATAAACCGCTCATTACTACAATTAATATCATTAGCGTTAGGCCATAACGATGTACAACTTGTATTGATATTTACATTACTTATATTGTTGTAAACATCACTTTGATTTTCACGTCGTTAAAAAAGTATGTTCTAAAGAACGAACACCTGAATCATTTTTCCCTGTTTTTCTATTATTTACAATTGTCGTTTAACAATAAGCATAATAATTATGAACAATTATTACTAGATACCCCTATGAATCTTATGCTTGTAGTTGAAAATGATTTATCGCCACTGAAACATGAAAGAGATAAGACTCATTTTCCATTAGACATTTTCTAATTTCAAAAGGCTTCACTTGGTTTGTTGGCCAACTCATGGCACGTTGCAATTTAGTATATGATCTATTACTGTGATCAATCAATCTGTTATAGTGTTATCACCGCTAATGATGATTGCTCGTGCTTAACGCAAATTAACCACTTTTGGTGAAATGAACATTTTATTGTACAGCTTAATTAGAGGATTTAGTTATTTTCGAATAACTCGTCTATACTTAACGAGATACCTTTTTATTTTAATGTTTAATCTATAGTATTTTTCTTCCTGATTCTTCTTCTTCGTCTTCACCTTACTCTCCCAAATACTATTTCAAATCTGCTCTTGGGGTACTATTGGTATTGTCTACTAAAATAAAATAGTTACTAGATAATTTATTAGGATCAAATAACATCAATTTTTATAATGTTCATATTCAATACCTACTAGATATTGGCTTATAAGCTATTTAGATTTTTATAAACATATCTTGCCTATTAACCAATAATTAGAAACAATTGTAAATTATTATAATTGTTTTCAGACATTAAGTTTTTTTGTCTTTTGTACATTTGGAACAGCTTGAAATAAATAATAACGATTAATTCCATTCCTTTCTCACTCGGTGTTCTGATTTCTTACTGTGTATTTTACTCCTTACAAATTACCAACATAATATTAATAGTGATCGATCGTCGATAAAAATCATTTATTTTATGGTCAATTTCAAACATACAATAACAACAATAATAGATTTCACACATCAAAAAATAAAACTATACCTCTAATAATTGTAATGTACTTTTTATTGAAAACTCCAATAACAATAGTAAATGAGTTTTTAACGTTAAACCAACTGTGTCGGTGCTTATAAACAAACGGAAATACTTAGTCATTAGGTTTAAACGTTACTAATAAGTTTTCCGTCGAATGATATTTAACAGTAAAAAATACATTCATATGAATTATAATAATTATAGTAATATTATTTTCACTTTTCAGCAAAATGTAAACACAATTTAATATTGTACTTTTGATTTCTCCGCTCTTTCACCCAATAACGTCATGATTTCCATATTTTAACATGAACTCATCCTAATTTCATTAAGCCAACACTATTGGCTGTTAACGGTTATGAATACTTTTTGCAATGGCCAATAAAAGTACCTACGATTCCTGATCAAGAGAATATAGTGACATAAATTTTGTATCGTTTCCATTGCCTTAGCTAAAAGAACAAATTTGTTTCGTTGTAAAATCATAACTTTTTTGGCTTTTTATCGTGTCTAAATAATTATAGGTTTACTTAAAAATGACAGTATACGATTAAATATGGTTGTCAATTTTGTCGTGTCAACTTTTTTGTGACTTACAGTTTTAAGATTTTAATCTGTTTTGGCGTGAACATGTTTTATAGCTGTGGGGTCTGTTGAAAAGTGGCAAGACACAAAGTGGTGAAGATAAGAATGCGAAGTGGAGGAGGAAAGGGTACGTGATAATAATTATAAGCATGTATGAGACGGGGTTGGTATAGTGTTAAGAGATGAAGATGATTGGCAAGAGAGAATATCAACTATTGTAAAATTGTAAGAAAAAAAAAATAGTTGGGTGCCATAATTTATACGTTTCTCCTTGAAGAGGAGAACATTTTTACCACTTTTCCTTTCTCATTTTTGTAAAACACCCATAGACTTCAGACGTGAAATGCTAAAAATTGTTCGTTATTTATAATGGCCGAAATATTTTTCAGGATTGATTCAACTACTTGGACTAGACTGACACCATGATTAAAAGTAAACTCTTAGTGGTCTCAATAGTCACGGTGGTGGTCTTTATCCAAAGCGTCAACTCCGAATCAGACACAACTAAATCGCTTACGATTTCTGACATCTACCAGACCACTGAAAAATCGTTTTTATCTAACGACAAATCGTTGGGAGAAACCACCATTAAACCAACGCCAACAGAATCTTTAGGGCTCGTGGATATCGCCAAAATACAAATTTCATCCACGAATACATCTTTGAAGGAGTCCCATCAGGAGAACCAAGAACTCCCTGACTTGTTGGACGTAGCAGTTGAGAGTGATGGATTTATTACATTTTCAAACAACACCCAAGGGTCACCATACATCCATAACGGCTCAATAAACACTACTAAAAGCAAATTACCGGTCATAGGTAGATCTCTAGACACTGGAACGGTAAACGATCATTCAATGGAAATTCTAGCTGAAACCTCGTTATCAAGTATTAACTCATCGCCGTTTTTTGGTCGTGGCAAATTCGTTAAAAACGCATACAACAGTAAATCTGACTATGATATGGCACTGGACCGTCAACAGGAGGGAAATTTTATCGTCAACGCCGATGTATACAAAACGAGCAGGTAAGATATGAGAAGATATTAGAAATCTAAATAAACTACCGGAAAATATTTAAAATTTCTTTGTAAACGTCGGATGATCAAATGTGCGAAATATTTTACCGTTACTATCAGAACCACATGAACTGTTAACTAAAGATGGAAGGGTTTTTTCAATTCACCATTATTAAAATTTACACAATTCTATAAAACTAGAGGTGAGCATTGATACAAGATACAAAAATTGGATACATTTAGAAAAAATTAAAATTCACCTATAAATTTACTCCTCGACACTTTTTGATATCGTCAAAAATTAAAGTAAATTACATATTTTACAATGATAATACTTTTTGATCATTTTTTTTTACATCCTTTATAAATTTGTATTTTGTTAACGACTCAACAACTATAATATAGCAGCTATATATATTATATATAAACTATATATCTGCGGCTTGGAGCAAGAAGGGCCAATGTCAATTTTGTGCATAAACGAGTTAGTCCGCTAATTGCAAAAATTGAATCATTCTTTATATACTGTGAACAAATCACACTCTGAGGCCAAAAAATGAATTGCTCGTGAAGAGTTTGATAAAAAAATTAACATAGAGCCTAATGGAAAATAAAAGCTTCAAAGTTCATTTTCCGAAAGTTGCAAAAAGTGACATTGGCCCTTCTTGCTCCAAGCCACAGACATAATACTTAATAACTATTGTTTTTTTTCTACGTTTTTACCCCACAATAGACAATCCAATAAATACAACGAGCCGGCTGTAATCGAAACCGATATAACTGTACACGAAGACGAGACACCGCCCGCTTACGGTAACCCGTACGAACCCGACCAGGGTAATGGTTACGACTCGGGTTACAGCGGCGGTAACAGCGGATATGTCTATGGCGATCAGAGTGGAGCAAACGGCGGATATGGCGGTCACGGTGGCGGAAGTGGCGGATATGGCGGTAACAAACACAATATGGTCCATAACGGTTGGTCAGGTGGCCAAAACCACGGTGGATACCACCACTACGACCGTCCGACCATTCCGATGCACACGTACAGTCACCCGGTGCCTATTATAGCCGAATACCGTCGACCGCACCATCACAAGTCGATGATCGACTGGCACAAGATTGGCATTTTGGCCCTTCTGAAAATCGGACTCGTCAAGTTGAAAATATTCGCCTTCCTCAAAACTGTGTTCATGTTGCTGCTTAAGCTCAAACTGTTTTTGATCGCGTTGTTTTTCAAGTTTCTGTTGCTGTTGAAACTCATGAAGTTCCTAAAACTACTCCTGGTACCTTTGCTCCTGTTGGCGCTTTCGCCTCTGCTCCTGCCACTGCTCTTGCCGCTGATACTTATGCCGCTGTACCGGCTGTTTACGCTGCTCACAGAACCGGTGTTGGTGCCGAGCAGTGCCAACGGCACCGCGTCGAGTATTACACGAAGCCAGCTCGATCCGCTACGGATGGTCGATCCGGGAATGATCGAGTTCCGCAATGTATTGCAATCCGAAAAATGCGTCCAAAGAATTGCCTGTAGAATGGCTACTACCGAACAATCGGGCATAGCTTCCTCGTGGATAAATTGGTAAATATGTTTTCATGAAATTCACCGTGCGCGAAGACAACAAGCACCTAGTTATTTTCTCCGCTCCACGGCGAAATATTTTCATCGTGGTTATGTTATCTCTTATCACTTATCACTTATCTATAACCGCTTATCCCTTATCTATAGTATCTTATCTCTAATCTCTTATCTCTAACCACAGATATATATATATATAATAATAAACTAGATTGCTAACTGTACATTCCACCAATAGAGAAGATTGAAGCAGCCACTTTGCGCCATCTTGGTGAGAATAATAGATCCTTATCACGTGAGAATAATATATGTTTATAACAATCACAGATATATATATATATATACAGGGTGATCCAACTAACGTGAGACACTCATTTTTTCTGAAAATATAAATATATTTGAAAAACGGTTTTTTCCTTAACTTTTAGGTACATATTTTACTACATTTTTCAATATTTTGAAAATTTTTATCACCAGTCCTTATAAGCCAAAAAGGGGGGATTTTGGTTTTTTTTAAATGGTAACATATGTTTTTAATTACGTAAAATTGTAGACAAAAAATTAAAAATTATGTTAGCGTTTGAAGTTTGAATTTTCATTTATTTGTTCATTTGTTATGACTTTATAAAGATTTGATTTTTTGACTGTACTTCTTAATATTTTCAATCGTTACTACAAAGACGAGTAGTTTAATTACATTGCATACAAATAATTTTATATGTTACCGTACTCTGTATCATAATCAGACATAATAAATAACCTATAAGCTAAGTTATCTGTAGATAAGAACCTTTGTCTTTTTCAAAATCTTTTATAGTGAATTCCTAGTTGTTAGAATGTTATCGCCAATTGGACAATGCGAACATAAATATGAATTTTATGTGCTACCGGTTTTGGAAAACCGAAGAATAATGATTATTATTTAGAGGAAATGTAGTATCATAACAAAGTCATGACTAATGAACAGATTAATAAAAAATTTTAACGCTAACATATTTTTAAATTTTTTGTCTACAAATTTATGTAATTAAAAACATATTTTGCCATTTAAAAAAACAAAAATCCCCCTTTTTGGCTTATAAGAACTGGTGATCAAAATTGTCAAAATATTGAAAAAAGTAGTAAAATATGTACCTAAAAGTTTAGGGAAAAAACGTTTTTCAAAATATTTATATTTTCAGAGAAAATGAGTGCCTTACGTTAGTTGGATCACCCTGTATAATATGCAATGATAACACACATAAATCCCACCAGAATAACGGACCGTCGGCTTCAATTCTTATCGCTTGTTAGCAATCTAGTTTATTATATATATATAGTATATCTGTGTCTCTAACTGAAAGTAAAAGTGTATCGCGAAAATGGCGACATGTAATTTCTTGTATACATCCCAATAACGCGTATCCAAGTTAAAACCATGTCAACATAGACATACATAATATGAAACCTCTAGTTACTACCTATTGTAAATTTATAATCCTACTACTTAAATTTTATTATTTGTAATGTTCAGGGTGTTGCGTCGAGTGACAAAGTATTTTTCCAACAAAACTCTGGAAACTTACCTGACAACATACGAAGACGTCAATGATTATTTGTACAAGAAATCACCGGTTCCAAAAGATTGGTCGAGTTGGTGCAGAGAACGTTACGATTGCAACAATAGCGAAAATACAATTAGCAAAAAATAAATGACAATACGTTTTATTGCGACGTAATAAACAACTAATTTTTGAACAGTAACACCGATACCTATGTTGTAAATACACGAGTACACTATTATATTAGGTACCTATTGATACGCGAAAATCATCCTTAATTGTGTTTTTTTTATTGATATTTCAGCACAAGTCTTCTGTAAAAAAAAAAAAATGTTATAAATATTTAAGTCAAATGTAATTTTATAATCTACTATTGTTATCTACTCGATAGAATAAAAATAATTAAGTGTATTATATTTACACGTCTTGTTTTTGTGCTCCGTATATGTTTAAATGTAAATTAGGGAACTTTTCCCCATTTGAATGTTGTTCAGGTTGGCCGTGTAAAGTGACTATTGTTATTGGTTCAGACGATGGATGGCCATCGTAGTCATTTAGACGTTGTTTTAATGTTTTCGTTGTCAAGCCATCCTTGTTATTAACCCTGTTCAGTACAAATGGGAATTCGTTTGTAAATATATATTTATAATTCCTATTAATACTCGTTATTTAGAAATATATATGAACTATATATCACAACTATTAAATCGAATAGCTTGTTCAAGAAAGGTAATAAGTAAAAAACGAATCAAAAACGGTTTATTTGCCAAATAATACACTACTAAAAAAAAAAAAAAAATAATGCATAGTATAAGACAAAGTAATTGTAAAGAACTTTAGTATTGACATATTTAATCATAACTTATACTTGATTTCAACTAATATTATACTATATTAGACTCATTACCTTCCCCTACAAAAAATAACGATATTTTCGAAGGCATATTTTACAGGGTTTTTGCGTCTAACCATCAACATTTTTTGAGAAGAAAAAAATGATTTCTTTAAAATGGTGTCTTAAGCCCTTTCTTGAATAAGTGATTCAAAGATCTAAATTTAAACCTATAGCTTTACCTGTAGCATTTCTTCGGTAGTTTATTGTTATTATTTGTAAATGCGGTTAAATCAGTAATTTCGACTTCGCAGGGATTTTCACAATGGTTGGTTTTAATGGATTGATTATTGATTACCTTGAAAACGTGTTACATTTCAATATAAGATTATTAAATTATTGTTGTTATGTATGCAAATTTTACTTAATTACGAATAAAATATACAATGGATTTAAAGAAAACTCTTTTCCTTAAAGGAAAAAAAACAGAACCGTGATGAGTGGAGTGTAATCATAGTAGCGACAGAGGAGGTCACGGGTTTGCAGGAATTATCATAACTTAATATAATAAAATAATTTTCAAATAAACGCTTCGATGCGAATCTGTGGATGTAAATAATAGACATACAAATAGTGCTAAAAGCATTTTTTTTCACCTAATAAAAAAAAAGTTTGAGTACAGATTTTTGAGTAAGTCCAATATGGTAAGATATAAACCCCACCGTAATCTACTTTAAATCTAATTTTCAGATTTCAGGCCCTAAAACTACCATGGTTTCTTCGATATTTCTTTATGAATTTCCCTGATATTTCCATGTTTTTTCCTGGATGGTTAACCAGGGTAAATAAATAATATGTACCTTTTTTGTTAGTTCATCGTTTTTTAATAAAACAACCTTTTTTAAAGTCCAAAAATACACCAAACAATGATCATGCTCTATAATGTCATACTAACTATAGTATTATTAATAGTTTTAAACTTAAGATAAAATATAAAAAATATAATTTACAGAAATAAATTACCAGTTTTAATAATTTTGTTTAAATATTAAAAACAAAAAATTAACCGACTGTTATTATCACATAATAATATAATTATCATATTATATCGTTATAAAAAATGTTTTTTTGACAATTTTTTTTCAAAATGTTGAACAAGTAATAATTATGAAAATAGAGAGTGAAATTTTAAATCATAAATACCAGAATCTCATGCAAATTCTAAGTTTCTAGAAGGCGTGGCGACAATATAACACCTAAAATGCAAAATAAAGAATAAGTTTCCACTGAAACTCTCTACTTAACTCCATGAAATTTTTAAAAAATATTCAATGCAAATTAAGAACTGATTTTGAACGAGAAGGGGTGCACTTTTTAAATGTTTACCCTAAATAAGTACCTATCAGGTACGATTTCTGGTCTATAGACTTGCTACACGAAGAAATAATCGCTTCAGTATAGTTTAGAAGAAATCATGGGCTCAAACACAAAAAAATGAAAAATGAAATAAAAACACATCATTGTAAAAACAAAACTTCTCAGATCCAATTATTAGGACAGGCAGACGATCGACCCTAATCGTATCCAACCTTATTACTCAAAATGTATTGCTTTTATAATGTTTTTATCGATTTTTTGCGTTTCTACATCATCTACAAATTAGCACCGAAGCGTTTGTTTAAAGAGAGGTTCACATTTAGAGTCTAAAACGAACCTTACTTGTCCGGTTAGTTGCATCTCGTTTCCAAACAATTTATCCAGTACCTTGTTATTATTAAATTGGTGTGTGCTTATGTTTTTTTCACGTTTCCATTTGGCGATCGCCTCTTTTTTTTTACTTCTCAATTGTTCGTATTTGACGTACCAATTTTCGTGATCTCTAGCGGCCTCTTCGGTAACGTCTGAATTTGATAAAAAAAAAAAGATATACAATAATTGGCGACTCGTTTTCATTTATTGTGAAAATGTTAGTTTTCAAACTAATGACAATTCTACGGTGTTATTGTGTTTGCGATATTTTTTTTTTTTTTTTTTAATATCGTATATTTTATTACGTGGGATTGCTTGTGTGACAAGATCGAAGAAGTTGGAACTGTCTTCGTGTTTAGATCTGATCTTCAAGAACGTCTCGTGATCTCTGATCGACCATCCGCCAGTCGAACCGTGATTTCGTGTACAGAAATCGTTGAACTCGGCTATTTCCTTCAACGAAACGCAAACATTCAATTTTAATGGAAAATTTTTTAAAAAAATTGTATTTTCTTTCCCCCAATAATATATACTTTTGAGGCGTATGTGTTTTTGGAAATAGGAGTTCGTCCTTTGAACGTTGCTATTTTTTTTCTTCTTTTATCAACCAACTCGTGGTGGGCATTCGTCCCCACTGTATCTCCAACAGTAAATTTCTTAATACGTTCCACTTCCTCGAGCAGAGTAAATTGCTTTAGACTTTCCTCTCGAATCCTTTAAAGAAAAACGGTATGCGCGGTAACTTCAAAGGCCAATACAAAAAAATATACATAAAGGAATTTTGTTTTGTGAACACTAACTTTTTTCGACTTCCTTCTTTTAACTTTGATAAATTCGATTCGAACATTTTTACGTCTTTTTGAAATTTTTCAAACCCTAAAAACAGTTTCAAGTGACGTTTAGTTTTTTTCAAAATTATTTACATATTTTTAAGACACATGTTTACTCTATTATCGATATGTATTTCTATTAAAAGGAAGACACACAGTACACATTTATTAAGTATTAAATATGAGTGTAGGCAATTTCGAAAGCTAAAATAATTATCATAATACGAGTACATTAACATAACAAAGAAAATTATTGGTAAAACTATAGTTGGATAAGTTGTTTTTTTTAAGAAACTCGTTCCTCTTTTTGTTCTTTATATAGAAAATTGAATATCTTAAATAATAACTTTTTTTAATAATATTAGGTATAAAATATATATATATATATATTGCTTACAAAAAGTCATTGATGTGTGATAACTGATCAAGTATAAAGTATGTATTAAAGTTTAAATTGAATAGAAACTGAACATATATGTAAAGAATTAGAATACAAGGTTGGTCAATTAATTAATTTATTTTATTTAATAACTGCCTTTAATAAATGCAGACTTTATTATAATCTAGTATACCAATACCTATTGTTTTAATTTTGTTTATGTCCGATGCAGTTTTCTTTAAATAAGTCAATTTGGATCTTAAATTCTGTATCGCGTTGGCCATTTGATTTAAATCAGCATGCCTAAAAAACATTTGACAAATTTCAAAATTTATCTAGCTCGTCAATTTTTTTTTTCAATTAACCTTTAAAGTTGTAATCAACTAATCTAGAAAATAATTATCAGCTCTTTAAAATATTCTTTTGAGTAGGTATAAAAAATACTAGAGTTTTTTTATTAGTTCTAAGACCAGTTTAAGTCGGAATTTAACAAAACAAAAAAATATACCTAATAGAATATTAATCTCTATACTAAGGTTTTTACGACTTTAAAGCGGCGATTTAAAGAACATTTTATGTCTTTGATGGGATATCAAGTGAAGTACAATTTTGGCAAAATCAAGGTTTCAACCGCTATAGATCTTTCCTTAGAATGCAAGATAGTCGAAGTGTTATATTTTTGTTAAAATTAGCTTCGGCCGGTTATTACCGCCTATCGATGAACAACGTCCCAATAGGAAACGGGTTATTATAGTAAAACTAATGATCGATTTTAAACAACTGTACAAAAATAGAATTACGATTTATCATTAGGCAAATAAAAACAAAAATCTGTTATGATCCTGTTCACCTGTCGGCGTCTAGTTCTTTTTTGTACTTGAGCAACTCCTTGGAAACGGGCGTAGCATTGGGTTTCAGGTGATTCTTGAGAATTTGCCAATGAGCCGCTTCCAAGGCTCGGTTATCGGACCAAGACATATTGCTGGTCCTTGTACTCTCTCGACGTCTCGTACTTACTTATTAAATATCTTGCACCGAGTTGTTCACGATAATAATAAAAATTCTACAATTACACAGTGTGGTGTTTGATGGACCGTTGTCAACCGGTAAGCGTTTTCGAACACACCACCTGCTGTCGGTGCCGGTTGCCGGGTAACATTCAAGGTCTTCAAAACAATACACCCGTCTACCCTCTATATATAAGGTATACAGAGGGTACCTATAACCTAACCCATTGAATAACACAGCTCTGGTAATATGTATTTCTATATTCGGTGTGTTACAATAACTATATTGTTTGTAATGTTATTGTTGTGTATAAATAATAGTACGCCATGAAAGTGGGTAACGTGCAAGAAGACTAGACATAACACATAATATTTTACACACAAACACAATAAGTGCGTCTATTAAAACGAGTTAAGTATGTAGGTCAGATTGTATTATTATTATTATTTTTTTTTTTTAAGAAAGACCCGAATAATTAATGTTCTTCTTACAGTAGGTAAGGGCTATATCCCGGGAACATCAAGGGTGAATATTATTACTGTAATACTTTCTAAATAAATTTACAGTCTATAATTTTGGCAAAGCTGGACAATCTTATGGTTTGTATGGCAGTCGGTTAATAATTATTATTTTTTTTTACTTAAAAACATGTATTACGGAAAAAAAACAATGATGTTTCGTTAAAGTATTTGGATTTTGTTTTAAACAATTATTGTTTTTTTAGAAAAATTTCTCTTTTTTAATTAATTATTATTTTTTTGTTTAATTAAAAATACTTTTTACAGTCTTCGTGGATTTACTATATTTATAAATTCAATTTATATAGTATGTGCCGTAATTGCAATAGCATATTAAATGAATAATCTCACACACAATTTAATAAACCGGAAGAAATAAACTATTTTGATTTTTTAGTCATTAAACGTTCGATTCGTCGGAGCACCTTTATGTTGACGCAACTTGCAAGTATTACCTACCTATAATTTTCACTACAATTGTATTTAAAATCAATATTATGTCATAAATTATTTTCAACAATTATGATAGTAATTATTATTACACCTAGGTACAATTTCATTTTTATTTTTACTCGTACTTAGAAATATTTACATTCGAAAAGAACATATTGTCAATGGCGTACTTTCTTTTTGGCTTATGTTAGTATTGTACCTAATATGTATGTTATACCTTATTTGGCTTTTAATGCGTATCACGGTAGGCTGACAGAGTTACCTATTTAAATAAAACTTAAGTAAATGTGTCACAAGTCAAGACCAAATATTATGTTTTCATACAGCTATTGCCTATAGTTTTTACAGGCCTCAGTTATCTGGTAATCAATATAATATTATTTATTAAGATTTTTTTTTACTGTAAGTACGGAACACTCAGTATCCACTAGACCGCTGAACTGCGTACCGTTGACAACCACATCCTTGACATAAGCCTTAGACAGGCACTAACTAACTTATATAGTTTAACAGACAACAGTAAGCCCTCTCCCCCCTCTTTTATGAATAACAGTGTATTTTAACGCTACAATAGTAGTGTTTTGCCGAGAGGCTCCTAACACAGTCGGTTAGCCCGACGACGTTATACGCATATGGTTGATATAATATAATACTTTTGTTTTAATGCTATAAAAATACTTCGCTATTGATAGTAATAACAAACATAAGTCTTACTGTCTGGCCAGAGTTCTAAACTTTTCTTAAATTAGATTAAATTTAACTTAAATAACTAATAAATCAAACATGATGCTTACATAATTAACAAACAAAAAAAAACCTGAATGAGCAGCAATGTTGTTGAGCTGGGTGGCTTCCCTCGTACGACGGCCGGTCCACGACGGTGTTAGCGAAAAGTGGCGGCCAAGGACTATACGGCCAACACGCCGGCGAGTAGCGAACGGCGGCCAACCACGTGGACTATACGGCCAACAAAGGTCACGGCGATAGTAGCAGTAACGGCGGCCAACTAAAACACTATGTCCACGGCGATGATAACTTAACAGGCGGCCGAATGAACTGATAAGGCCACGGTGACAGCAACAGTATGCTTCAACGGCTAACAAGACAACACGGTCGACAACGTATCTACGGCGATGATTGCTTAAACGGCAAGCAATATGACAAGTGCGGTCGACAACGTGGACACGGCGATGGTCACTTAAACGGCAAGCAACTTAACCACACATGCCGGAACAAAAACGCCAACAACAACACAACACGGCCGGGCGATGGCACCAACGTGTTTTTACCGACAACTTTAAAAAGGAGGGGTGGCAAGCTTAACACGGCGGCCGGTCGACGGCCGTAGGTAGCTGACTGATAGCGGTCTCCAACAAGTAGCAATAATTTATGTCATGAAACCACTGCCAACTTCAAAACTTTACCCATTCCAGCCGACAAGTCTGGGGCGAAAACGGATAAAGTACACAAAAAGACTGTGGAAGAAAATTACCAAATAAGAATTTTACTAAAATAAAAAAAAACAATTGGTTCGGGGGGGGGGGGGCTAATGCCTCTTTAGCCCGCCCCTAAGTCCGCCTATGCTTAAGACATGTAAACATACGGTACGCCTACTCATGGTAGTATTTTTACTTGGCCATACTTACATTTTATTCCTCAGAGCCAAAAAACCAATCAAGGCCTTCGTAAGCTGCTGCAAAGAAGCCGCTCATGATGGCGGCCTTTGTCCCGACGCCGTCTTCCGCGCCTAATACGCCACCTGCTATAGAAGCACCTATGATAAAATTCCAGGCGTCGTCTTTCTTTCTAATTTTCATTAATCCATGTTCTGCCAGCATAGCCAGACATGAATATTTTGCCACGAATTTACCCAATCTGGCAGTCCAACAAATATCGTCCTAGAAATTAAATTACAATTAAAAAAGTGTGAATGTATATTAATGTTACAGTACAATTAAGGGACCCTAGCCGGGACAGGAAACTACCCTGTATCTGCCCTAAAATATCCCTAGAGACTATTTGTAAATTTATATAACCGCCCAACAGAGGAAAAGGGCCGGTCGTACCTTTAAGTAAAAAAAACTGAACTCTCAAGTAGCAACGTACAATATTATATATTTTAACACGTTGACATAGCGTTAAAACACCAGTGTCTGAAATATACTATAAACGAAAATATTGCGAATAATGCCAAGCAGCATATTACGTCCATGGCGACAGCTGTCATCTCATCCCGCGTTAGTTGATTTCAATTATAGGCAAAATGCCTCGTTGTACCAAAGATCACTAATATATACAACCATCAAACTACCATTAATGATAATTATATTATTCCCGACGGTATTGAATTAGCCGATCCGGCAATTGCCGTGCCACAAAAAAATTTGATTCCATTGTAGACTGTAAAGGTAAGCGTCCATATGTCCGCATCGGACGGATCGTATCGATCAGATTAATTTGAGGTAGTGCATCCACCGTACCCGAACAAGTGGCAAAATGTGACAAAGAATGGTCGGCGCTCTCGACGTCTGTGCGTCCACAGATCGACAATTCGTATCGGCACGCATCGGAATAGTTGCTCCTCCGAGAAAATGCTTCGGCATTACCGACGGGCCGGTGCGTGCGGTCCGTCCGCTGCGGATTAGTGGACGCACTTGTGTAACGCACTACACACAAAGAATACTAAAATCCGTGTGATACGATCCGTCGGATACGTACGGTGCGGACATATGGACGCTTACCCAGAACCGCCATTTTACTCTCTACTAATAATAATTGTACTTTTACTTACAAACAATCTGCTCGTGACATCGGACAGTTCTGCGACAATTCCCATTGTAAATAAGTCACACAAAAATAGTAATAACGCAAAAATGAATTCAGGTAACAATTATAAAAATACAATGTATGATTATTTACTAATAAATTGTTTTCAGTTGTTATGCATGAGACCAATAGACAATAGTGGCCAGTTTTAATTTTCGTCACTCATTCGTACAATGTGTTTCTGGAGTCTACGGAGAGAAGAAGGAAACTTCCTGGCCCACATCTATATAAGAATCAAGAAGTTATAAAAAATAATGAAATTGTATTCAAAATTATTATTAAAATCTTTGAAATAAAAACAAAAGTGTATTTTTTTATGAGTTATTATCTAAATACATTTTATTTTTATTTTATTTAGGTACACTATTTAAAAATAATGCTCATGTCTGCTCCCTGCTCGCTATATATATAGTATAGTAGGATATTATAGTAGGTAATATCCCACCGCAACGATAGTAATAAAGAAGAAACAAGACATAGTGAAGTAGTACCAAGGAACTTTCATAGGCCTTAAAAATCTGGCTTAATGATTTATTCTAAGTACGTATCCATCTCATACCTTTTGTTCAAAATTTACTCGGGCAGGCTCAAAAGGATTGTTAGCAGCTCCTTGGTGTATCATATTCATTCTCTAACCATATATATTAGATTACACACATTTATAACCAATACTTATTATTTTACACGCGCACACGGGACAAGCAAAAATAAACCCGCTAACTCTTTGCCTGCAGACTTAATACTATGGGTTATGTGATATGTCTAAAACAGAAGAGTAGGTTTTTTTTTTATAGTAGGGAATTTTTTAGAATTTTAAAACTAAAATAAAAATATATACTTATAGAGGGATAGAATGTTTGTTTACAATAGACCAATAGGTCCCATGACCGAACATCGTTTGATATAATAATATACACCACAGTTATTATAAACAAATAATAATACTTCTGCTAAAATCGGGAATAGCCGAAAATGCATTGTTTTTTTTTTACTAAAAACTAAAATTATATTTTCGTATGGTCGTCCGTATGCCGACTATTCACTATTCGTCGCTAGATTCCAATAAAAATTATTTACCTACCTACTTTTATAAAATAATAAATATGTTATTTGTATAATTTTATGGGGGATATAATATTTACCGACTTTTTGTTCGGAATGTGCCGACTAGGTATACTTGAGTTTTCCGAGTGGGGGGGTGTCAAACCCCCCCCCACCCCCTCTAAGTCTGGCCCTGACTGTTGGGGTGGGTGGGTGATACCGGGATATTAATTTTCAACTATTTTTATGCAAGTACAATATAAATCTTATGGATAACAGAATATGTTTATATCACCTCCTCTCTGGTTTTAAAGTCTGACGTAGGATATCTTAGACCCGGCTATTTATTACCTATGACTTTCTGCGTTTGTTTTAAGAAAAAAATCACACAAAACTGTAAATCTAGTTTCGTGTTACCTATATATATGTATGTGTTACCTATACCTATGTAAATATATATTTAAAAATAATATATATATTATTTTAAAATACATTTTTATCAAAGTAATTTAGCTTAGATCGTTAAGTTTTTTTTTTATTTTTACCAAAGTGCAGGGTTAAACCGATTAGGTGGATTTTAATTGTTTTTATTCAGTCGTTTACCAAAAATAAGTTTGATTTAGCGATTATGAAATCAAATATAATACTGCAATAGACTTGTAGAGTAAATAAAAATATGTTTTGAAACGATAAACTTGTTTGATTGCAATAGATGTAAAATAAGTTTTCTTGCTTACGTATACACAAAAACAAAATACATCTTTAATATTAAATTTACCAACAACTAAGAGGTTATTTTGAGATTTAATGGTTATTCATTGAAAACAAGTGATAATTTCAAAAAAAAATAAAAACATAATCATAAAATATTTAAAAAAATATATATATATAAATATAAAAGAATTAATTTTTCTCATATGAAGAGTCGAGATCGTTGGCAGTAATTAGGAAACCTGAATGGCTCGCAAATCTTTTAACAATGGCTCCAATACTTTTTCTAGTCCCAAAATGTTGCCGGTATTAGCTTTTTCAGCTGCTACAAACGTTATCAAAACCGATGAACAGTTTAACTGGACAACCTAAACACATCATCATTATTCTTAACAGTATAAAAAAAGGTCCAGTAACATTACAACAAACTTAAGTGATGTATAATATATTGAATACAATTACAATAGGTTTCTTCTTTATTACTTACTTGATAATTTGTGTAAAAACAAATAACGGTTTTGTTTTTTCCAAGTTCGAGTTTTCCTGCTTGTTCCGATGCAGAATTAAAATCCGACAGAAACGAATGTTTAAAGTTAAAATTATTGTCCAGACTTTTATCGGCAGAAGCTAAAACACAAAAATATATTTAGTAATTTAATATAAATAGTTGTATTATGGTTTAATTAATTTAATGTTATTAACACCTGTTGTACCTTTAATAATGACGACGCCATCATGATCCGATATGATAATTGTGTAAAGTCCGTCAATTTTATTTAACGTTTGATGTAAAAATCGTCTAAGTTCCTGTAAATATAAAATAATAATTTAATTTAATTAAAAAAAAAAAAAAACAAACCAAAAATTAATCTAAAAAGTCCGATGCAAGAAGACGACCGAGAGTTGGACTAGATGCAGACGGTCTTATTACATTGGTATTGCTTAATATAGTTAAAATGGAACGGGGATGAGACGAATGCAAAACAGTTATTGATATCAAAGAGAGTGTGGGATTAATAATTGACAAGACTGAAAAGGAACTATTGTCGGTGTAATTAACAATTTTCGTAATCCCAAACAGAAAGGTTTTAAACAATGCTTTAATATATTAAACAGAGGATATTTTCCAGCAACAGAGATGTTTTCTTCTGAGCTGTTGTCAATACTAAAAAAGCAGGTAAACATCATAGTTTTGCTCCCACTAAGAACATATGCGTGCAAAATATGGTGCAGTACTCAGGGAAACATAGAAAAATTGTAAAGAAAAGATTTACACAAGCCGAAAGAATAACATTATCTATGTAATATAAAGGCTTGAAATGGGCAACAAATGTCATGTGGCAGACAAAAGAAGGCCTCATAAAAAATGTCACAATGATAAACAGCCATTACAAAAGGTTGTAAAAGTTGTCTTGGTGAAGAGAAACTCACTCCTAACAACCCATCCCGGACAGCAAATTTGTCTAGAATACATCATCCATGATGGCAATGTGGGGCTTTAGGCCTGTTAAGCTTACATGATGATGATGATGATGAAGAGAAACTCAACAAGATTTTTGACCACGAAGAATATTGGCAGAGCATCAAACATTTCAAGCATCAAAAGCATTTTATAAGCCTTAGAAGTAGACAAATAGGTTAACATTAAGTTTTCACATATTACCTCCATGGTTATTACGGTTTCTTCTTGACGTAAACAATAATCAGAAACAAATTAAAACTTTTAACTTTTTATTATATTCATACGATTTTCGAGTAAAAACAAGTTTTAAGCTGAAAACTAAGTTTAAATATTGAAATAAGAACTATAAAGTATGTTTATGTAGTTTTAATTGGTTAAGTTCAAATTACAAGTGATTTATTGTATCAATATTTATAAGTATTTACAAAAACTATACTCATTAAAGTTTTTGGTTTCAAATACAAATTATAATATAATTTTCATTTCTTATCTATTTGATATTTCTTAGAACTATTTGTTATCAAAGCTTGGTGCTTATCAATCAGCAGTTAGGGAATATTTCTTATCAAACTACCTATAAAAAATGACCGGGTAATTTAATATTTACCCAAATCTAAGGAACCTGTTTCACTGAAGTAAAGAATGGGCCAATGAAACGAGCGATTTTCTCATATAAATACATTGGAAAAAAATCGCTCTTTCCATTGCTCAAACTTTTAGTGAAGTCAAGTCACGGGAAAAAGGAACTTGTAAGTTCCTATGATAGCTAGTTTCAGCTATCTTGTTTTATTATTGTTTGAGCTTTATATTTTTAAACGGCTAGAGAATTTGCAATTACCTTATTTAGCTGCAGTTACTTTATACTTTAGCCTTGATGTAGAGTTAATTTTGAATAATTGTTTTATTTTACTTTTTATTGATTTTTTGTTTAAATATATTTTTGTCAAAAAATTGTTTGTGCGTTTGAAGGAAAATAATAAATCAACAGTTTAGTAAAACGTGATCCGCTGTAAACTGTTGTGGTATTAGAAAATTGATTTTAAAAGTTTCAATATCATTTCAAAATAGTCGTAAATAAAATATCTAATATTTTCTTGTGTGGCGGATCAATTAGTGTTTCTACTCTTTTTCACACATTTTTGGTACTTAACAAAATTATGTGTTAGCACTCGGCTGTGTAATTTTTAGCAATATATAAAAACATATACATTTTTTACCGATTCAAATAAGTGAATGGTTGATATAAAAAAATGAACAAACTCTTTCATGAATGAAAATCTTGAGAAAAGAATAACTACGGCTTATACAATGTAGAGTAACAGTGGAAGGACTATTATACAAAAATGTAGTACTACCTAAGTACAGAGTTTAGTGTAAGTAAACTTTAAACAAATAGTTTATACCAATAATAGTATCCATAATAAATTATACATACATGAAATTTAAAAAAAAAGCTCCACAACGAAGCTAAAAAATCTTATTAACTACACATATATATATATATATATATATTATATAATTTTACAAAATAATAGAAATGCTGTTAAATATAACTGCGTCAAATAACAAATTGTCATAATAAATGGAAAAATATTTTTAACATTTTAATCGGCCATACTAGGATTTTTTTGCAGCTTATTTATATTAGACTTAATACTCCTTTCTACGCTGACCTGTGAAGCTGCGTGTGCAAGTTGTTTGCTGAAAAGTAAAAGTGGAGTATGTAATTATTAAAAAAAATACTTATTATTAGAAATAAATATTTTTTCATTTTACTTACATTAAAAACTCTTTACTATAAGGTTTTTGCTTTTCTTCTTCTTTTGCGTCCACTTTTCTGTAACGTTTTACATTACTAGATCGCTCCTTATCCCTAATTTTAGCATCATGCATCATTTCTTTTCTCAATTTCTCCATCTCTTCATCTGTCATTTTCCCCTTCTTTTTAAGTGACTCGCTGAGACGGACAAGTTCAGCTTTTTGGCTATTTGCTACTTTGGACGGTACCAACGAATTATTTGAAGGTTTTTTTTTTAATTTTTGAGCATCAGGGACCTAAAAATATGTTATTGTTAATTGTTACGCTCAAAGTGTAAAATGGAGTGTAGGTAAATAATAAAATAAAATATAATAACTATTAAATATACTTACAAACAGACCATAATTTTTGGGTTTGGTTTCATTCTTGTTATGCTCTGCGTCTGACAAACTACTTTCAGAACTACTATGGCGCCGTTTCGGTTTTAGTTTTGAAACTTTTATGCTTTTATCATAGTCTGAATCACTTGACAATTTAGACTCATGTTTGTCGTTATCATAGTGCTTTTTCGGCTCAGTTTTTTTTTTCTGTTTGTCATGTGGTTTCGAGCTGCTCGATCTACTTTTTCTATTTCGATCTTTCCTGTTATTACTACTTTTACAATCATAATTAGAGTTCTTTGAATTTCTTTTCTGGATTTCTTCATCAGAACTGCCCAATCTGTCTTTGACTTGGTTTTTATTTTTTACAGCCTCATACCGTTTGGGATTTGTTTGTTCGGACTTTTTTTCACAACTCGGCGACCTATGCCGCTTTCTATCATTGTTCTTACCACTTTGGTGATAACTATTCCTTTCCTTGTACCTAGATTTGTTGTCTTTCGAATCGTCATCATTGTATTTTCTTACGTAATTCCTAGGCTCGTGCCCATCGTTATTCCTATCCCGAGAGTTCTTGTTTTTTTGGTAAAATTTATCGTCCGGCGACCTCGATCTAGGCCTTCTATTGTATTTTATTTCTTTGTGTTCGTTCCTTTTATTACGATCACTTGGACTGCCATTCGATTCACTACTAACAGACCTCTTCCGGAGATTTCTATCATAATTACGCCGTTGCGAAGGAGAATCGTACCTTCGCCTCTGATTGTATTTTCTATTTACTTCTTGTCGTTGGTCTTTATACGGGCTGTGACCAGGAACTTCTCTGTCCAAACTGGCCGATTTGTTTCTTTGTTTTCTTTGCCTATCATTATTTGTTTTATCAGCCAATTCTTTTTCAGTCTCTTTACTATCTTCCTTATGCTTCTTTTTATGTTTAGTGATTGACAATATTTGTGCAAGATCGAGTCCGGCCTTCTCATACGATTTCAAACGGCTTACAAGGATCATATCCAATTGATGGTCGTCAATTCCGTTTTTTTGTAACAGTTTAGTATTTTGTTGTTTTTTCAAACGCATCGGATTCTGCAGAAGTTTTTGAGTGCATTCAATTTCTCTTTTCTTAATTTTCACCAATGGATCCTCAGAGATTTTCTTAGACATGTCCACTTGTGAGAATTTATCCTCTGCCAAGCATATTGGAGTGGGTAAAAATGTTTCTGAAATAATAATATAAAAAATATTATTCGTGAAGATTATTACTTTTTACCCCTCCCAAACTTAATAATACAAATTCTTCTCTTTTATCTTTCGTGTGATTCTTTTGTTACAGTTTTCAAGTGATCACTTAATCATGGTCTACCGTTTCTTTCGCTTAACCATTTGATTAACTCTAAAAATTTATTTAAATCCATTTCCCTAAAATAAAAAATTCTACTTTTTCAAACTAAGCCTAATCTGTAGCATAATAATGTAATCGACGTAAAATTTATTGACTGAATAATTAACGAAATATTACCTTTACCAGAATTGTCGCCGAGATTTTTGTCGACTTTTCGTCCCAAAAGATAATCTTCTTTCTCGACCTTGATACCATCGTACATCCAGTCCATCTTGACTGCTTCTTGATTGTAAAATACCTGTAGAATATATACTAGTTACTTCGATTTACAGTAACTGTATATATTTTCTAACAATAATATTCTCTAATAATTATATTTCACAACTCGTCAACCGCGGCCTGCGCGCTGTTTTTATTATGCTTATCACATTATAGATAAAGTACTTGTTTATACCGCATCTGATAAGCGTTGGTAACCATGGCTTATACCAGAATATATTCAACCCTTAATGGCCGCCGACAAGTGGGGACCAAGGCGTTTAAATCATTTTTCCGAAACACCTACGTTTAGTAGTAAAAATCGTAATAGTGTTTTTTTATTTTATTTTTAGGCGCAATTTTAAAGTTAAAGAACTAAAAATATGATTAAAGATTTTATCTGTACTTATAACATAAAAAAAAAAAAATTTGAAGTCGATATTTGTTTTGTGAAAAATCACTAAAATGTAGATTTTGCAGACAATTTTGGGTATTCAAGCTTAAAATTTGACACATTTTGGTCAATAATATGGCTGTTACATACGAAACAATAGCATAGAAACAAAAGATATGTATGTCCGTGTTATTATGTAAACGCTAAACAATATAATTAGTATGGCCAATGCTAAAAGTTAATGAAGACATGGCATTCTAAAATATCTTCTATAAGTCTGACTTTGGTAAAACGTGAAGAAAATTAAGATTAAGGCCAGTTGTTTACATTGGCCGTAGAATATACAGACAGCAATATTATTTATGTTTAGTTCGGTGCTCCATAAGATATCAAAAGCATTCCTTTATCCGTATTGATTCTAAATATTAACCCTAGTTGAACCTTAGTATTTTTTAGGCGAAAATGAAAAAAAAATACATCATCAATGTACATCAAACGCTATTATATTATTAATAAATACAATAGTTAAGTACATAAACTTATTATAAAAAAAAATCTTTATTTAAAAAGTCAAATAAAAAAATTAAAATTTTAAAATACATTTCAAAAATGTTAAGTTTTAAACTTGAACTACCTAATTACATCAAAATGAACACAAAACAAATTAATTAATTTTTCTTTGAACATAAAAAAAAAAATCGTTTAACTAACATTATCTAATCTTATATGTACGAAAATATAACAGCTTAAAAAAAAATTTAAAAAAAAGTTTACCCTATAATTTATACTGCATTTGGTAAACCGACAGAATTACAAAAAAAAAGAATACATACAACCTTAACCTTTTAAAGTATTTTATTATAATTACTAAATAAAACTAATAGAGCGCTAATACATTAATTTGTGTCTTAAATTTATATAATTTGTGCTCTTTTTTTATTTGTTTTTTAGTTATTATTAATTTTAATGAAAAAACCTATTAAAAAGATATTTAAATTTATTACTTTACAATCGGTAAAAAATTTATAACAGACATAATATAACATAAAAGCGGTCAGTTTTTTTTTTTTTTTGTCAACAAGTTTACATAGTAATATAACAAGCGTAACTTTACAATTTAATAAAAAAAAAATTGTTTTAAAGAAAATTACAGCTTAGAACTTTTTTTGTTTTCAAAAAAGAAAACTTGTGCGTACTTAAATGATATACTTATATAAATATATACAAAATAATAAATAATACAACATTTTACGAGATATATTAAATAGTTATCACTATATTCAATTTCGGCCAACAGCATTTATTGTCTCCTCGTAAGAGATCGGTTCAGGCTCAACGACGGAGACCTATTACTTTGATCACTTGAATAACTCCTGTTGTAGAAGCCGACGACTGATGGAGAAGGAGGATTCGGAGGATCTAAATAAAACAATATTAAACATCGTTAACAATAAAAGTTGGCGGACTCGATATAATAAAAAATTGTATCTAAATTTACTTTTGATGAAAAACATACTGTTGTTCCACATCGGCAGTCCGTAGCAATAAACTAAAGAAAACAAATATTAATAGAATACCCTCATTTCAAAATATATAATATAAATATAAGCCATATATTATAATAGCTGTTGAAAACTTATTGAAAAAATGGTCAACAGCTTACTGAAACATGAAGTGACGATTGCTACGGCCAAAGCAATTATGTACGGATTAAAGAACACGCTACTGGAAAATTGTGCGGGCAGAAAGTAAAACATTGATGGTCGATGCACTTTATTGGCGCTGTGCTGCGTGTTGGCGTTTGTTCTCGAAAAGTCGTAATTGAATAACGAACGCGAAGTCACAATGGCAATCTATAAAACAAAATGTATTTAATATTTATTAAATTTCCACTGATACAAAAACAATTAATAACAATTATTGGAAACATGAAAACTATATGAACAAACAAACCTAAATATTTTTTATTCAATTAAGGAATAATACATTTTTTTAATTTATTTTATAGGCTTTACTAATATACTATAACAGTTTTAGTTCCTTTTTATCATTTAACCATTTTATTTATGTACGACTTATGTATTTATCATCCTAAAAAGTCAACATTATTAATGGTTTAGGCCGAATGGGATTTTTTTGTCAAATTCTTTTGTGGAAATACTTTAATCGTTAACTAATTAAATGGGAGTAAATAAGTCAATATTCAATGATATTTAATAATTAATTTAGTATAGTTCTCTCCACATTTTAGTTAACTTTAATTTTTTTTTTTTGCATTTATACATCACTTTATTTTTAACCTATAACTCTTTTAATATATATATATTTATATTTTTAACAGATACAATTAGAACAATATAGAACTAATATAATCACAATATATATTTTTAGAAAAACTGTACTCACCTTTGAGTGCTGGTCCGTTAAACGTGAAAAGACAACAATATGTAAGTCGGGGAACGTACTATTCCAAAAATATTCGTTTACTTCGAACACATAAACTTTTTCGTTTTCGCTTTCATTGGATAACACTGGACGCACCAGCGACGTATTACTCGATGTAACCTAATTAGTAAATAACAATGTTGTTTAGTTTATATTGTTGTTAGACAACAACTGGTAAATTACTTCTATTTGTGATAGTATTTGAGGTAAGCCGATCAATATAAGCTTGTCGTTCCCACTCAATTGTCCGAAAAATAATTCTTTTTTGTTTATGAAAACCGATGGAGAGAATTTGAATTCTTTAAAATCGGTATGTATGTTGCCTGCAGATACTTGAACTGCAATTTTAGCTTTGAACAAACTCATTTCCGGGTCGGTTATCGGTAGCGGCGTAAGCTGACAGCTGTAGAATCCTATAAAAAACCACATCAAATACATAATGTTGTTCATAGTAGACATATATATATATTCAAATTTGTTAATTTAATTACCTGTTCTTGTGTTGAATTTTGGATTTATATCGAATATACGATTGATCAGTGGAATTTCTACTTGGCCGGACGAGATGGGTTCGAAACGAACGTGACAGACAAACGGATAACGTTTTACTATGTTGTTGCGTTTGGAACAATCGTCGTCGCGCCATTCCCACAAGTTTCCTTTTTTGCTCTTAATAGACGTAGGAGACTCGAGTTCATTGAGTAAGATTAACGGAATGTCAATCGGGCCACTATTGCTTAATACACTTTTGTCCGCCGGTAAAATAATTATCTAAATACAAAAATAAAAGTAAGTACCAACTCAAGAATAGAACATTAAATTTTTATAAACATAAATTTCCGTACTTCCTTGATGGGTAAAATATTAACACTAGTCGATGTCGTAAATTTTTTGTTTGAATACGTGACAAAAACGTCAGACGGCGCCATGGCTACGCTGAATCCGGATAAGTTTTCAACTGTCAACGACTTAACATTATCAGACTGCCATTCGCCAAGTCCTTCTTCGTTGAATTTCACAGGCATCAAAAAACATATCACATCGCCCACAGTAACAGTGGCCTAAATTAAAAAAAAAAAAACAATAATAATTTGGATTAACTTTCTCTTGTAAAATCATAAAGCAGACGGGCATTATTCAAAAAAAGTTTACTCAAATAATCATTCAGAATAAAAAATGATTTATACAAAATTAATTAAATTTTTGGAAAACATTTGACTTTGTAAAATGTTTTCATACTTGGTTAGGATAGATCAAATGTTCGACATTGAATTTAATGTAGTCTTCCTTAAAATGTTGCACACCATCATCCCAAATCTTCAATATTACTTCGCCCGATTCAAATAGTGAAACTTGCATACTGTTTTTTAGATTGCCCGGCGTCATCGATATCTGAATTATAAACGCAAAACAAAAGATAAATAAAAAAAAAAAGCCAAAATAATTAACCCATATACTTGATTCTGATGATTTGTCGAATATCGAATATTAGAATTGATCTCTTTAAATGGTGTTCCCTTATCATCGTGGTAAGTAACGACCAATTTCATATTCATGCCGCTAGGAATCATCGACATCTCCGAAGGTTCTTTGGAACTAATCGTAGTCTCAAGGTTCAACATTATATAATGGACTCGTTTCACCTAGTAACATGGTAAAAAAATAAATCGTAAACTATGCAATGGTTTTCTTTCTCAAACCAACTACCTCGATCGGCACGTCCAAAGATTGTACGATGTTAAAATCTTCGGTTGAAGTAATAAATATATTCGCACGGCCCAACGAATTAGACGTTCTTATTGTACCGGTGGTGTCATCTATAGATATTGTAGGGGTGTTGTAGCTTTTGTCTTGTTCGATCAGGTTGTTTTTTTCAAATTTAGAACTTCCGACGACCCAGTACGACTGTTTAGCGGTCTAATATAAAGGCAAATCGAATAGGAACAAAGACTTTATACAATATACGTCATCACTCATCACTCACTTTATACTTGTTGGTCGTTAATGTGAATTCAGTATTTGGAGCAACAATCAAACTGTTCAACGGCAATGAGTGAGAAATCAAACGCAACTCATCATACACGGTAACATCGATAAAATTTGTGAAAACTACTTTCGACGATGGATCTGATACTGTAACGCTGACTCTGGTGTTTCCCGCTCTGATAGCACGAATACGCACCGATAATCTGTCTTCTTCTCGTACCTTTGAAAAAAAAGGATGCATAACAAACCACATCGTTAAAAAAATAATAATTTTACTTACTAGTATTCCCGTATTTTCTAGAACATCCGATATATGAATAACTCCAGCAGACGACGTACTCCATTGGTACAATAAAGACGGTTTAATCGTACCAATGATGATCGGACTAAGAGCGTCGGGCACCCCTCGAACCCAAGCAGGCATAATTTCTCCAGATTTTATTTTCAAAAGCGGAACTTCAATTTTAACATTTGTTAACTTGACTACTTTAACGGTGATTATGTCTTTGGAATATACAACTTTCTTGCCGCTGATCACATCGACACCAACTGCCATACCGGTTACGGTAATGGTGCCCACTTTCAATCCTTTGACCAGACCACCGTTAATGACTTTCACTATATTGTCGTCGTCAGACGTGTATTCGAATACACATTCCAGTTGTGGGCCTCCGTGAACTGTTAACTGATAACTAGACCCAACGGCCAGTGTCAAATTCCGAGGAGTTATTTGAAGAGGAGAGTAAACTCGAATAGAAGACGTTTGGGTGCGTATTTGCTTAGAATGATAAGTGTCGGCTACAAAATATATATTTGTTTCTCCCAATTCCAAACCTTTGATGTTAAATACTATTTCGTTGTCAAAATCTTTTCGCTGAGGTTCGTCTTTTTGTTTTGTCACTGTCAATATGTTAGATTCGGTAAAAGACTGGATTTTCAGGACGTTCGCCTGGAAAGCAAGCAGGTTGTCTTCGGAGTCGTAGACTTTTATAAGAGCTCGAATACTTTCACCAACTTCTACAAAAGCATTAGTCAACAGTTCAATACGATAAATACTGCGCACTTCAAAGGTAACTTCGGCCTGTTTAGATTTCAAGCACAAATCTACTATATTTAGTGCTAAACTTCCTGGAGCTAATGGAGTGACTTCTATTTGCCTTCCACTGTGAGTCACTTTGGCTATGTCTTGTGAAGTCATGTGTACGTTGAAGTACCCAGAACCTTGGTCAACATACAGTTTGCTTGTGATTTTTGGATGATAAACAACAGATACTTTTTCGGGCTTGACAACTACATTATTTACCAATAATATTGTCAGCGAATGCTTGATAGGCGGACTTATTGCTGATACTTTTGTGTCTGACCCTAAAAACGAACTGAAACGCGAGTCGTTGGGTACAGTAAATGGTTTTTTATAGCCCGTCAACTGCACGGCTACATCAGTCGATCCGATTTTATTCAGGGGTTCTAAGATCGCAAAATGGTAATCGGGAAACGAAAATCCATACTCTTTGATCTCGTTCAAATTCAGTATATCAACGACTCTCACTAGACTGGCGTCTGTAACGGACCAACTGGCATTCAACATAGTAGCATTGTCAAAAATATTGCCATTTTCATCTACTATGTTGATACGAACACGTAATTTTTCAAAATTAAGCGACACAATTTTGTGTGAAGATTTTGTAAGCGGACAACTGTCTTCGATGTCGGTAGCCAACGCTTTTATAAACTTGGGCGATGCACAAATAATTTCTACCGACGTTTTGGAAACCACTTCAGTTATATTTGATTTGTGTGTATCTGAAATACTTCTTACGGTGAGATTTGCTTTTGAGGACCCCAAACTCTTGCAAGTGACTGAATAAGCATATGTCTTATGGCCGTCCACATCGCGGTTCACTGGAAGTTCACCAAATTTGATCAGATCATTATCGATGTTAAATTCGACCTTATAATCGGTGCTATGGCCCAACCACGGTTGAGGACCTCCGTAGAACAGCAGTGTGGTGGAACAACCGGGAGCCAACACTGTTCGTTTAGATTCGGGTCGCAACGGAACTAATTTCTTAAACGTACTGACAATAACTGATGCCTTTAAAATGTTGATAGCCGTTTCAAATGATACAGTCACCCGGGTAGAAGAAACCACATCGGAACTTATGGAAAAGGCAGCACAAGAATCGCTTACGAGCAAATTCGATTTGTAAGGTTTTACCGTGAACTGGAAGTCATCGATGTCAATTTTAAACTGATTATGGTTACAAACTGTTGCACTGGTTTCTTCATTAAAACCCGCATTTTTGACGATTAACTGCATGTACAACACTATGAGTTTACCCGCCTCTTGTTCGACAGGTTGAGCAATTATTTTCAACTCATCTGGCATGACCACTTTGACATTAGCAAAACCTCGATTTGTTACGTCTCTTGTCATGGTGGCCGACACATTGTTTTCGCCTAAACCTTGAGATGTGACGACTCCGACCGACGATACTGTACTTATGGTAGCGTCGTTAGTAGTCCAACTATATTTTTTATCGCCGCCAGTCGCTTCCAATGCATACTGTAATCTGAAAATAATATAATAAATTAATACTTTCATGGGCGCCTGTGAATTACTTAGTTAATTCCTTATTGAAATAAGAACTTAAATAATAAATACAATTTCATTTTCATATAAATAACAAATTTCTAAAATAATAATTTCAAAAAGATGTATTTAAAAAAAATATATTTAACATGTTAATTGGAACAATCAAAAAAATATGAATTTATTTAAAAGAGTATTTGAAATTATAAATAATAAACTATTTTAAATAATCTATTATTTGAAATAAAAATTTACTTTAAATACAAATTTATTCAATACAATAAAAAATGGCCAAGTTTGATTTTTTATGTAATTTTTCATACAAAAATGTAACATATTATTGTAAAAACAACAATTTTTACTTATATTTCAAATTATTCTTTAAAACTGAACATTTATTTTAATTTATAACAAGTAAAAAAAAATATCTGTTGACGTTTCATTAGTTAATTCTTAACAAATTAAAAATGTACTTTACCCGCTGTTGAGATTTAGATGCCAAGGAAATACAACATCAGCCGGTTTTACTTTCACTCGAGAGTAAATGGGAACAGAAATTATGACATTTGTTGCTGCGTCTTCATAGGGTTCTATCAGCGATGCTTTAACTTTTGGTATTCCCAATTTAATAGGTTGAACAACAACGAAAGATCCGTTACGCGTGGTTTGTAGTACTTTGAAATATTCATCGGGCAAATTAACCGCAATGTCAACGTTAGGCCCAATTTGAATAGACTGATTGTTGCTAAAATAAGAAAATATATATTAAGTATTATTATTGGATTTTATAAGGTCAGTTTTCAAAAACATTATTGAAGTTTAGTGATACCTATTGAAAAGGTAAACTTCCAACTCGTACACATTGTCAATGATTAGTGTCTGCCGGTTGTGAGGTTTGATTACGATTGACAGATACTTCGCTTTGCATACATTAACAAAACTACTAATCGCTTTGGGCAAAGTGTCGTTTTTTGCTTCAATGTGATTATCGTTCAAATTCAGCCTGACCTGACCCGGTTTTAAACCTCTAAACAGGCCAGAATCGTTTTCTGCTATCAAGACGTCCAATGAATCAGTCATCGTGTCAAATTCAACTGAAAATTGTTTTGAAGGTAATTTTATCTGTACCATTTTTTCGTTTTGAATCTGAAATTGCAAACTTTATCATTATTATTATTATTATTACTACATTTTTAAAAATATATTTTTTACTTTCTCAACATATTTTATGCTCGTTTCTAATTATTGTGTAATACAAGCAAATTAGGTAAGACAAGCTGCTACCATAAATTAACATAAACAGAAAAAAATTATCATAATACCTGATAAATATCTATTTGTAACAAATCTCCAGGTAATATGTTAACGTGTGCTGGATTTAATCTTAAATTGGCGATAACAGACAATTCTACTTGAGATATTGGTTTGTCAGCCGATGCCAATTTCACAGATACCTAAAATAGTTTGTATTAATTTTGTTTCAGACAAAAAACACTCTACATACTATCGCCGATCCAGTTTTAACTCCTTCAACGAGGACCATATGCCCCTGTTTGTTTTTTTCGTCCAATTCGTACAGATCTGGAGGAGTGCTGTATGGCGAATTTTTAAATGAAATAAATTGTAAAACCGTATTAGTCGGGTCTCTGAGAACGTTTATTGACCATTGGAATTCCACGCCGTCCAACGTTGTAAAACGATTGCCTGAATTGTGAATAAGTAAATAGTCATTTTTAAATAAGCGCAATATTCAAACAACTGTACCTTGATCATCGAACGCAGATACTTCGAATAGTTCAGGCGCATCACCAACGAATAGCTCTCGGGTTTTGGTGACGATTTGGAGAGACGCGATTGTGTCGACGATAACGTGGCAGTGAATCACGTCACCAGAACTGATGTCCTCTGCGAAAATAATCGCTGTTTTACGGACTTTATCATTGGACAATGGTGACACCGAAACCCTCGAAGAACATCCCAAATTCGGATTTAAATCAAGCGGCAAGAGCTTGACGATGTTGTCCCCTTTGAACAAAGACCTAAAAACGGGAAACCTTATTAGATAAGACACAACAAACCGTCGGTGTGACTCGACATAATAATTCAAGTTCAGTATATACCATTTGTAACAACCGCCGTCGGTTACTTCTACGATGAAATTCACTGTAAACCGATCTAAAACCGGTAACAAAACTCTGGGCACGTTCAGCTTGGAACCTAACGCACCACACAAAATGCCCAGAAGAATTGCACAGTGAAGTACTTTAAACGACATCGTGTTTTGGCGAAAAAATTATTTATACCAAGTGAGCATGACTGAAATTATAAAAATAAAAAACTGGTACATAAAATTAATTATAAAGAAGCAAACGATTTCAACAAACGCAAAAGCCAACGGAAACCACACTTTCGTCAATAAAAAATATGAACAATTTTTTTAAAGGACAGAAGCCGTTACAATCACTATTGCTGTTGTTATCAAATCGGTCTAACCTTAAAGTTGTTATCATATTAATATTTTATCGGCTTAATGTATTTAATCTATGGCTTAATATTGTATTTTATGAGCTGCACTCGTCTGTGAACCATAGAGTAATTATAATTATAATTATAATAGTAATTATAATTATAATTATAATAGTAATTATAATTATAATTACTCTATACTGTGAACTCACTGCGCTCATTATAACGATTGTCTATAAATAGGAGTCAATAAAAAATATAATAATATTATGGTCATCAGTAATTTTTGACGATGATCTAAGAAATTAATATTGTGTTCAATGTATTCATATTTTATCACGAACGACCTTAAAAGAGTAAAATCAAAATGTTGACGGCCGTGAAAACTTTAAACTATAGTCAAACCAGGGCAGTGCCGGGTGGGACACTCTTAAAATTTAACACGGGGGTCGGGGTATATTATACCTATCACAAAAAACCTGGCGGCCATCTCTTCTCATTTATCAATGTATAATCACAGACTATATGAAAATGTATGTATAAACTATAAAATGTATACATTTTCATATAGTCTGTGGTATAATGTCAATTGTTATTTCTTAATATTACCTGTGTATACTGTATGGATATCATTTTAGAATAAATGAAAAGATGGCGGCCCCCATCCGAAAATCATTGTTTACATTAAGTGTCTTCTCTGGTTTACTCTATTCTGTGGTTAAACCACGATGTAGAAAAGATACCTTCTCTACATCGTGGGCCGTGGATAAAACAATGTACAAGCAGCATTGAGTTTCTGTACTCTTACACACTGATTATAGTTTCTCAGTGGCCAAGTATGTTACTGCTTGTATATTAATCAATTAGCCAAGTATAGAGTGAAGACAAGCTTGTTTATAGGAAAAATTCCTATTTTAGAAAGAAATAAAACTGTTGAAGAATTCAACAACGATCAACGTGGTGTCAAAGTAAATCATATATAAAAAATTAACCCATTTAATAAAAATATATATATATTGCTGTAAGACATTAATCATGATTATAATTTTTAATAGTTAAAATAAGAAAGGTATAAACGGATTATTATTCGATACTTAAACATTATGACAAAATATAACTTGTATATTTTTTCATTCTAAGATAACAAAGAACTGTCGGTTCCGTTATTTTAATTAGAAGAAAGTTTATAAAGATTGAATTTAATGATAAACAAAGACGAGTGGGTAAGATGACAGTATGTTACCAGTACTATTTAGTCAAGCAGCTCTATTTTCTGAGTGGAAAACTGTCTATTGAAAAGAATCCACCACTTCAATGCTAATGTTTTTTAATTTAGAAATATATGTTGTAGCCCAATTTATATATTCAGTATTTTCTCATACCTATTGTTTTTTTTGTATTTTAAATTTTGTTGCTGTCTTTAACTGCTGGGGGTGTGGGTCTTAATTTAATCGCAGCTAATCACATCTTTTTGGTTGACGTTCATTCGAACCCTCAATTTGAGGCTCAAGCGTGTGATAGAATTTACAAAGTTGGCCAAACCAAAACAGTTAATGTCTACAAATTGATTTGTTCAAACACAATAGAAACTTCAATCCAACGAATTCAGTTGAATAAACTGGATGTTGCTAATAATCTTTTTTGTGGTTGTAGCACTAAAGCTACCAAGGTGTTGTAAAATGACATGAAGGAAATATTTAATATGAAATAATTTAATGAATAATAATTTTTTTTTATGTTACATATATTTTTACATAGATTTCTATCTAGTACATACATATAACATTACAATTTCAGTACATTTATTTAAATAGTTCAACCAAATATTAAAATAATAATTACCTTTATATATTTTAATAGTTAATATATTATCAAAAAAAAAAACAACTGCTTACATATTTATATACCTACGTAAAGAATAACCAAAAAAAAGTCATATTTTAACTTAAGGCTATTGGGTACCGGCCAATTTTTAAGGAGTTTTGTATAGGCAATATTCAAGAAAAAAGTGGTTTTAAATCAATTTCGACCAGTTCAATTAATTTACCAGGTAATTTGTAAAAGCTTCATGGTATTGTTTTTAATTTAAATAATTTTACCTATGAGCCATTTTAGTTCATTTTTCTGTCAAAAACCGATAATTGTATTGAAGCGATAAGACTTCTGAAAACAGATTTGAATTCGTCATGAAGTCTACTTGAGATCGGTCGCAGTACTTTTTTGATAGCTTATTCAACAATGAACAGACAACAAAAAACGTGAAAACCCAAAACTGGACTTGTTTTTCGCGTGTTGACATAATTTTTGTAAAATGGACTTGATTGAAATAAAACAAATCCTTGGAGATCATTGTTACAACCACGGTTAAAGATAATATGGTTGCCCAACGAGCAATAAAAAAGCGGCCGGATAAGTACTTATCGGAAAAGCTCTCTATCAGAAAACTACTTCACTGCAGACGGCTTATCTTATTTATTCATAATATTATTATCAAATACTATAGAATATAGATAATCCATTATGTAAAAACTAAAATTATTATACCTTCAAAATGTATTACTAATCAAATAAGCAATTAACAATTTGTTAAAAATATTAACTGCCAACTATATTAATAATTTTTAATTGAAGTGTCTACATTTTTAAATACTAGTCCTAAAATGGATATTAACTACTTCCTGGATTCATTTTAGTCAGTATGAAATAATACAAATTCAAAATTATGATAAGGATCATTTTTAATTAGGTACTTACAATTTATACATACATTATACATTATTACTATATACACATACTATTTAAATATGAATTATTTTAACGTGTTGGTACCAATTTAGCCAATTTTTGTTTTGTTTTTTTTTCTTGGTTTTTGCATATGAATATTGTCTTATACGCAATGTTATATACATTAAATATATATTGGTCATAATTTCACCTTTATGTTTATTACATCCCCACATTAATTTAAAATTTGGATCTAATACATCAAATGTATCATCAAATACATTCAGAAAATCAGCATGTTTTTCAAAGCTTAACTAAAAAAATGTATAATAATATAAAGGTTATGATTTGGGTGAGTCAAGTATCCTCTAGTTTTTAAATTTACTAATTCTGCAGCTGGTTGTGATACCTCTCCAACTTTTGTATTTAAATAATTTAAGCAGTCTTTACATTTAGTATTTTTTTTTATCCTCTTAGCTATATACCTGTTAAAAATGTAATTTTTAGTTATGCAATATGTTTGAAAATTAAGTAATATTTTTAAAATAATTACCCTGTCAAAAAATATATTACACATTCAAACACTGTGGATTCTGCTGTGTTACGATTAGGGTCATACCCAAAGCTTTTTCCCATTTTTGTTTTTGTCTCCTCTTTAGGGACTCCATAAGTTGTTTTTGCTACACTATGTGGAAGACAAACGCAACAAGTCATATTAAATGTTTATAAAAAAATAAAAATTTACATTAATAGCATATTCTTTTTAAAACGTAAAACAATTATATTTGTTATTAAGACTTAAAAAAAGCGGAAGAGGAAGTAAACTTTCTTATCAAAATAAATAACAAACGAAAATAGTGACATTTTCTCACTTTATTAATGAAAATTCAATAATATACATATAAATTATAATACTTTATATAATATTATTACGATATAATATAAAAACATAACAATCAATAATTAATATAATATATAATAACAAATTATAACAAATCGATAATTAACATAATATAGCATATTAATATAATGTCAAAATATAAATTAAAATAAACGTGATTTACGTTTAATAAACGGCGTCGATATTATGATGAGTTGGGCAAGTAAAATTTTTAGGGCGGGACCCGGTCGGGAAATGCGGTTACTTTTTCCGGGAAACGGCCCGGGCGGCCATAATTCGTCGAAGTGGTGTTTTGCGAGTTGCGACAAAGGGACACGCGGCGTCGCGGCCGTCTTCTCGGAATCGTACGTCACGCCAACGGGGATTGTACTGGTTTGCAGCGCACCATAACCGAAAAGTCCAAGGACGGCGGCTGCGGCTGATGTACCTGCATATAATTATATTTATAGGTACGAGCAGCTGCCGCGCGGCCAGGGCCGCCGTCACGCCCACCGGCGGTGGCCGTTCTCCGTTGTTGTTACGTGTTCGCACTCGGCTCGCGTTGCCGATCAGCTGTTTATGGTTTTCCGGAGAAACAACGGCCCTCCTGCCACCACTCCAGTCGCGGACAACGGTGACTGTCCGTCGTCGTCGTCGTCGTCGACGGTCGAGTTTTTCTCCCAGTAAATGATTTTATTCCACCGCATTAGATTTGTATTAATAAAATAGTAATAATATTCTTCTCGACTGTCTTCGTCTGAGTATTTTCTTTTCAACGGCGCGTCCGCTCGCCTGACCTGGCCTGGCCGCCGTCGTGTTGTCGCAGCCGTCGCGGCCGTGGTCGGCGGTTCCCGGACACATTACACGCGGACGCGGCACCGTCCCATTGCCGTCCGGTCGTCGCGGTGTCCGGCAGCCGCCGTCGTCGCAAGACGTCCGCCGCCGTGTAGTACCTGCGCTAATTATAATACTATCGAATTTTAAATAATTAGATAGTCAGGTACAACAATAAAATAATATTAATATTCCTGTCGTGTCACGTCGATCGGCCCTTTGTCAGTTCTCGTCCCGTACACGGTAAGTGCACCTCACACGAGTGCCGCCGCCATGGATTACGATTGTTCGCACATCTCGGAAGTGGTCCAAGACTTGGACGTCGAGGAAATGAGGTCGACGCTGAAAAACAGGAGTTGCAACGGTGAGAACAGTCCTAATGGAAATGTACATACTTTAAAATGTACAAGTTTATACATTAATAATAATAATAATTTATTTGCTCTTCCGGTATTATTATTGTTTAAGTATAATACTGTTATGCTAATTATTTAATTTAGTTATACATGTCTATGGTATAGATAATAGCATAGAGTATATTATATTTCAATATACTCAATGATAATAGATAACAGATCATAACAGGCAATAAACATAGGTAATTTTTTTTTTACTACGTATTAAATACCTATAATTTTGTACAGGAGCTAAAAAATTAAAATAATTAACAAATATTTTATGTTAACAAAATGTTAATTTTTAATAATGCTGTTTTTGCTATTATGTTATTTTTTGTAACTGGACCCACGATTTATTAAACCTTCTGATCTAATATGTTCATGAAGCAACTCTACAGATCTAAAATCGCACCATTAGTACTTTTTTGGGCTATAAATTCATCCCTTCTGCTTCAAAATTTAGAAAAATACTGCGCTCTGTAATGTTTTTTTTAAAAATAACCCTTCCCCCAGAAAAGGGTAGAAACTTTTCCTTTGTTTAAACTTTTTTAGGTGTAGTTTTAGGGCTTAAGCTCTAAATAACAGACTGAAGGTAGATCTAAAGTGGAGTTATTACATAATATATCTCTCAAAAACCTCTTGTCAAAACTTTTTTTTTATTAACCCTTTGGCGGGCGCGTGACAGTACTGACTGCTGTTATCCCTTTGTTTTTTCATGATAACAAAAAAAGGGCGCCCACCGGAGGGTTAAGAAAAACCTCCCTAAAAGGGCGTAATATACACTAATTGTAGTGAATTTTTAGGTTGCTACGTGTGATTAAATAAACAATCAACAGATATTTAAAAATAATTTAATTTGTTAACTATGATAAATGGGTAAGCAACGACAACAAATTATTATCGGACGGACAATTGACTCTTAATTGTATCCACCCTAATACTCAAAGTATAATTTTAAGCACATTATAGCTTTTACAATGGTTTTATAAATATTTTAATTACTTCCATTGATAGATTTACATCTAATCGTTAGTTTGAAAGTGATTGTATCACTTTTAGTTGTTCCTGTAGACCCTAAACCTCCACGCTGCACTATAGGTACTATAAATCTTATTATTTTAAATTAATATAATAATTGAGTGATTTTAACTATAGTAGTTCTTAATTTGGCTTTACAAATTTATCAAGGTCACCCTAAAATAATATTTAGTAGGTTTCCACCCCTCCCAAGATTTCAATGTCATTTTTGCATTTTATGGTAGTTTGTCAAAAACCTAGACATAAAAATGTCTATTTTAAAATTATTAACATTGTTTAATGAGAAAAAATTACAAATAAAATTTTTAATCTTATTAACTGTTCTTTTTGAAATTCAACTGAAGTTTGAATCATAGAATAAATTATTTTCATTAAAGTAACGTGTGTAAATAAATATTGTCTGAAACCAAACAATGATTTGATTATGTAACAATAATAATTAACAAAATTTGAACGGGTTCCAATCTTTTTTCATTTGATATCAATTCTATTAGAACGACATTTTATCATGTCAAAATAGTAACGTTTTAATGAGTTAGGCTATTAAACTATAATAATTTCTTTCCGTCGGTAGTTTTATGGGTTATATAGAAAACCAGAAATTAAGATTTTGAATGAAATAATACACAAATTATTTGGCTTGTTCAAAATTATAATTTTATCTAGTTGAACAATTATTATATTAACTGTTTTTATATTAAATTAAATTACAGCTTGATATCTGTTTAAAAACAAAAATGTTCAAACATATATTTCAACATGTCGACCTTTGACTATTTTACTTTTGTTTAAATTATGTTTACCAAGGACAAGTGTTACATTAAATCAAATCGATCGTCGCTCAATCAAAGTCCTATTAAAAATTAAATATTTTCACAAAAATCCCAAATTATTAATTTTTATAATACAACAAAATATTACAGTAAATCACTAACACGTACTACGTTGTGACGTTTTCACAACTAGATAAAAATTGTATCCATCTCGGTGAAAATACTTTTACTATATTATTACAATTAAACTTATTGACAATAGACATTCTGGAAGATAATCTGATTGTTTTTTATTTACAGTTTGTCTGCGAATTGACGAACTATGGATCTGTATGAAGTGCAGACAAATACTTTGTGGACGGTACGCCGCCGGACATAGTATGGCTCATTTTGAATATCACAGCAATCATTGTATAACGTTAAACATAGAGTCAGCAACGCTCTTTTGGTTAGTATTGACAAACAAAACCATAATTTGTTTATTGTTTTTTTTAATAGAAAAATATTATGTATTATGTCGTGTATAAATAAATAAATTATTAATATAATATTATTATTATTGAATTCATTATATAAAAAATTGACGATTCTTAGTTACAAATGTGATGAATATGTAGAGCCAAAATGCCACGATGATGAACTAAATCGTCTAAGACAATTTGTTTTGTATACTCAAAAACCGAGCAAATGTAAAGATATAAAACGCCGGTAATGATGTGGTTTTATTTAACAGTATAATAATTATTATTGTTGTTATTACGACAAACTAGCTAGTACGAATAAGAACAACTTTGTAACATTAATGGGGGTTTTTTTTTTTTTTAACTGCAGAGGATCGGCTAATCGACAAAATGGCAAAAAGAAAAAAACCACGAACAGACGAGGCCCTAGAACAAATAAAAAACCCGGAATAACTAACGAGGGAAACAACTGTTTCATGAACGCCGTGTGGCAATCGCTTAGGTAAAACTATATACATATATATTTATCATAACGCTAATCATTTGTTTTGTATGACAACGCGTTGACGTCGCCAATGAAAATTGACACGTACTGAGCACGTATTCCCTTACTGAGTACAACAACGTGTGAGATACGTCAATATAATAATCGTGATTGACTTATTTTTTAAAAAGCTGAAATTGGTTAAATTAAAAATTGTTATTTTTTATTTTCAGTAACATAAATCTTTTTATCTTCTGCATTAAACATCTACTCGCAGTCAACAACATTAACACGAACCTTAAGGACACAAGAAATGGAATGATAACCGATGAACTAAGAACCACATTGGTCAGTTTGTCAGAATGGACACCGCCTTCTGGCTCTAAAATGGGAGACCCGATATCAGCTCGCGCTTTGTATTCAATTATTTGTAAACTCGTACCTCGTTATAGGTTTGTATTTTGACTGTTACGTTTGGGGAATTCCACACCAAATCGTATGTTTTAACAGTTTTTAATAGAACTGTTTACAAAATAAACAAATCATTTTTTTTGTGTAAAAAAAAAAAATGCACAAAACTAAAGCTCCAAAACAAGTACGATTTGGAGTAGAACGTTCACCATGAATTTATATCTATTTAAATATAATTAACTTAAGTTTGATTTAAGTAATAATTAAACAAACGAGTTTGTTAAACTATTCAAGTGTCTTTAAACCCTTTGAATTCTTATAAAAAATTTTTTTTTTTAGAGGATTTCATCAGCACGATGCACACGAGTTTTTGATTCACATTTTGGATAAGCTTCATTCCGAGTTGAAACAATTGCTGGAAGCCGATCAAGAAATCACAAACTCTGAAGAACCAACAATCGTGAGCTTTGTATTCGGGGGCATGTTGTTAAGCGAGGTAGCGTTGTTGTCGTGATCATTTTGTCTGAATTTACCAATGTTACGTATTTTATTCAACTACTTTAAGGTGTGCTGTCTGGTTTGCGGATTCTATTCTAAAGCCCACGATCCTTTTTTGGACATTTCGTTGGATATCCCAGACTACGATGACACCAATAACTCCGAAGAACGGCCAGTCGATACCTTAAACGGTAACATTGTTCATATACATTTTACACAACTGTTGCTCATCGGATGTTTGTAACGCTCATATTTTTTGTTTGTTTTGCAGATTGTTTAGAACGGTTTATCAAAGTGGAAGAACTCACCGAGGGCAACTATTATTATTGTAAAGGCTGTAACGTAAAACAGAAATCGACTAAAAAGTTTTGGATAAGTCGGTTGCCCAATGTAAACCCATCATAATAATATTGTTGTATGTTATACTCGTGTATTGTGTACCCAAACCGTTTGTTTTAATTTATAGGTGCTCTGTCTGCATCTGAAACGGTTTAGGTATGTAAATAACCAGCGTATCAAAGTGCACACGCCCATTAAATTTCCTATATCGTCGTTGGACATGTCTCGATTTTTTTTAAAAGACAAAGATATATCGGTCGTTAAAAAGGAAGACTGTTTGTACGATTTGTCGTCGGTCATTGTTCACGAGGGCAACGGGTATAAATACATGATATGTTGCTATTAAATTGTGTGTAATAATATGTAAACGGCTGAAATTGTTTTTCAGTGGTGGATCTGGACATTACACCTCGTACGCCCTGACTAAAGGTGGTGAACATTAACGATCTTATAAGATTATATTAATAGAAATAATATTTATTTAAAAATATTTTCAGGTGAATGGTTTGAGTGTAACGATGAAAAAATCTACGAAGTCGATTCGTCCGTCGTAGAAAACGTCGAGGCATACATATTGTTTTACAGTAAAAGATAGTATAGTTATACAAAAAAATATATATTAAAATGTGGGTGGTAATCTTCGTATAAATATTATATTGGATCGATATAACAACTAGACTGGAATATAATCGTGTATATATATATAGATTATTTTTTTTTTTTAAATATATACAATGTACCTGTAAAGTATATATGTATAAAAGAAAGTTACTATATCGCGAAAAAAATTTATAGCAGTATTCTTATTATCGTATGTTTTTTAATTATTTTTTTTTAAGCTTCTATTTCATCACTGTTGTAGATTATTTTTTATCTACTTTATTATTTTTTTTTTTCAAGACTGTGAATTTTTACATACATAAATTTAAATATTAAAAATGTGTATTAAATTGTTTATTAATTTAAAAAACATTAAAAAAAAAAAAACAAATCCAATTCAGGGCGTAAAATTTTATTTCAAAATTTAATATTATGTTATAATGAGTGTCTTTGCTTAATTCTGATCTCTTTATTTTAAATGATAAAAAATTCTATTTTATTTTCAATTATATATTATGTATAAATGTGAACTTTCTGAAATTGTCTTTCTCGTGTTTTGGTTAATTACGGGGAAATGGTTTTTAGTAATATTGGACAAAATGTGGGAATGTTATTTTCGAATAATCAATAATATCGGACATATTGTGTGCTCGGGCCGTATCGCATACATATTATTCACTGCCAACCGCTTCTTATTGTCTATATAATATTTAATTTTTGTATTTAGTATTTTGTATAGTCTGTATTTAATAACAACAACAACGCAATCCCTACAAATTTCATATGACCAATTATTTAGTTTTCGAAAATCGTTAGGATGAATTTAATTTAATACTGTCTTTCAATATGTGATACATTTAATTTTATAAACAATCCAAAACTCTCTCTAATAAATTGCAAGGAAAACACTTGTCAACTTTGAACAAACGTTTACTGCAACAAACTCAAAAATAATTAAAATACTTGGTGTATTGTTCAGCAATTATTCAAATTGAAATGGTGTTTTTTTTTTTTAATTATTCATATTGGGATATGGTATATATTTAATTAGTATTAATTTAGTTGAGAAGTTAACTCGTAGAGTTAAACAACTGTAATAAACATTTGAATTTAGAAAGTAAAATAAATCGACCATGTCAATAAACAGAACAAAACAAAAGTTATCATATTTTATTTGTATCGTTCAAATATCGATATCTTGGTAATTCTCGACTACGACTGATGTATCTTCTTTTTTTCTAATGTGACTCTCAATATTATCTTCCGTTTACCCAGGAAATTAATTTTATTTGTGTTTGATTTCTTAATAATAACTATATATAACATAATTTGTATCTTTTGCAATATTTGTACAATGACATTCCCAAAGATGATTAGATATTGTAATTATTAAACAAAAAAAAAATATATTTTTTAACTGTGTTAAAATTTCTTTTCAAATCATTCTATTCGTTTGTGTTCCTAATAATATTGATTTTTATGTAAGTAACTCGTGTTTTTTTTCACATATATTTAATTTATTTATATACGTTAAATACAATATTATCTTTTGTAAAATAGTTAACTGTTTATTATTTTTATTTTTTTATTCTACAAAAATGAACCTTTAGTTAATTTTATGAAACTAGTTTTAGAAAATTACAGTCGCGCAAATGCAGTTATAATATATAGTTTGATATAAACAGGTATATTTATATTTATTCTGTTTACATTAAACATTTTAGAATTTAATGTATAGTGTTTAACTGTTTAAAAGTTTATACACAACTACAGTACCTACGTATACTTACCATACGTTAAGTGATGTACGGTAAAAAGAAAAAATTAAGGAAAATTTCATAATGCTTTTTTGTAAAATTGTTTTTTTGTACTTGGAACAATTTTGGGCAGTTAAAATTCATAGTATAAATATTTCAACACTCATTCACTTTCATTTATAATATATTATGGTTAAAAAAAATTGTTTTAGGGGTCAATAGATTATTTAAAAAAAAATTATATTTTTAAAATCCTAAAAAATTAGGGTCTTTTAAAATTTGTAACGTATTTTAGGATCTATTAATTTTAATTTTCCACAATTATTTTTTTATCAGATATTTGAACTGCATTATATTTACACAATCTGTTAAAATATTAATAAAAACATAAAACGGTAACATTTTTGATAATGTTTAGTTTTATCGTATTTATTATTTAATTTAATATATGTATTTTCGTATTGTATTGGGTAATTAAAAAACAAAACAAAATTTTTTTTTTAGTGTACTCAAATTAGAAAATGTTTGAGGTTCAGAAGTGTCTTTATATTGACTCTTAAGTTAGAAGTCTTGTTATTTAGATTCAAGTTCTTACAAATATTTGGTACAATGCTCGCCGCTGCCTCACATATAGGATTTTTTATAGGACCTATGTGATTTTTCAGAATCCAAACATTTTTGATTACATAAACAGGATATTTTTCTTTTTGCGTTTGTTTTTAAATTTTTTTTTTTTTTATAAATTATTAAAGAAGTTATAGAAAATAAATAAACACCATCTATTAGAAAATATGTCTTAAAAATATAATTTTAATTGCAAATAATTTTTGAGTTTCTACTTGCTAGTTGCTACACTAATAATTATTATAGTAATTTTCTAATGTAGAAATGTAAAATGCAGTAGGTACCTGGTTACTGGTGACCGGTAAATGGTAACTGCAGAAAATATATTATAGCGGACATTGTCCAAGAAAACAAAATATTATATTGCATCAAAAGATTTGGTCACTTTTGTTTTTATAAGTACACAGTGTACCCTAATGGACATTCGTTAAAGATGTATTTACCGCCAAACACAAGCGACTAAAACTTGAGATAATAAATTGAAGTCGATCAAAAATAAAATAAACAACATACCTACTTGTAATATATTCAACCGTTATGTCAGCGGCCACTACATTACATAAAAAAGAGCGCTTCCAGTGTTTGACAGAAGCAAATAAAACAGGCACTGTACTTATGTCTTGCCGTATAAAGTCTATGGGTCATAATACAAAGTGTGTAAAAAATGTATGTAAGCTACCAATTGCGTTTGTTGTCACGTGCACACAGTACAACCTACATTACGCACTATTTAAATATCGATGTAAAATGAATACGGTCAGGTTTAAAAGATGGGTAACGTGGGTCCAGATGGAAATAATATAAAATACACACCAAAATAAACACATCATTGTAAAGATAATACTTTTTCAGCTACCCATCGATGGTGAAATTCGCGAGCAAGTATGTTGTTAGAGGTATATCTGAAATCTAAGAGATTTCTTATTTCAATAGGCTACTATATCGATTGAAATGGGGGGGGGGAGGGAGGGGTAAGTGAAAAAAATGTTTTTCATATACAGTAATAAATTTTATATAATTATGGTTGGTAGATACGACACGTGCGGCAGTGTGCATTTTGGTGGGCTATTGAGCTTTATATACCAGGTGAACCGTAATCGCTCATTTTTTAAATGGCTTTAGCTGAACATTGTTGACAAATGAGATACACATAACATGCGTTGCATTTTTATTTCTACATCTCGCATTCTGGACACGGGCGGATAAGTAGGACGCAGGGAAGTTTGGGGATCAGCGCAGAGGTCATCAAATTCCGAGATGGTTTGCCAAATGAACTAGGATAATATAGAGACTAGAATATATTTTTTCGGTTGCACGTACACACGATTAGAAAGAAGACGGATGACGGCCGACGGGGGGTATTAACCATTTTTGAAAATATTCATGCGCAATGAAGATTATTATATAGAGTAAAACCCCTTTGGTAAGCTTGCTGTGGGATGTACGATTTTCACAAGAAAATTCACTTAAAACTTCTACCTATATTTCCTCGAGCAGTAACTTGACTTCGTGTTGGGTTGTTAACTTTCCAACTTCGTGTTAACTTGATTTATTCAATTTGATTCAGTAGACATTTTTTTTCCCTAAGCAGTTAAATAATAGTTATTATTGTTGGATTTTTTTTTTTTAACGATGATTGAATAATAAAAAACTGACCACACGGTGTACTATTTCAAAGCTGGGAAAAATTACTTTTAATGGAACGGCTTAATATAAAATAAACCTAACCTAACCTATCAGTAAGGAGATATTTCCTTGTTGTTACTGAAAAAAAAAAAATGATAAGTACTTATACTTAAATATATTATATACCTATTTAAAACATACTGCGTAGGTACAATATAATATTGTAATTCGATATGTAAGTTACTGTATAGCTTAAAGTATATTTAATTGATAGATACATCCCCAAGGGGCCAAGGCCGACATTTCGAATGTAATACAGTCAACAGATGTTATTATTATTATTTTATACAATGATTGTTTTCTACGTAAGATGATTATGCGGGTGTCTATACTATTAATACTGAACAACTTAAACAAGGTCACATAATTATATAATAATTTGTTAACAATATTAGATTATCCTACTGACCTATTTTTTTCGAGCTTAAAAATGATTATGCATTACAAATTAAATTAATATATTTTTATACATTTAATCCTGGATAAAATATTTAAAATAGTACCAATGTAGTTTTTTTTTCATTAACCTATCATTGTCGAAAAAAATAAATACATTTTTAGTGCTCGATTGTGTTGTAAAATGTAGAACTACACACTCCTCACTATATAGATCCGCATCTAGTCTAATTTTCAGACCATACATTTTAAAACCACACCACATAAAAAGGAAATTAGAAATAAGTTTCCACTGAATTCGGTTGTCTTCGTTTTTGCCAGTTGTTGTTAATTAGTAATTGCTTATTTACTTCTATGTATGAAAGATAATCTAAACAAATTTGAAACTATTTCGACTGACGACTAGTATTAGCGAAGGGTTAAAGTTGAAAAAAATATGTACATTTTTAGTGTATTTTTGATTTGGAAGGTGAAGGATGGACATATTCAACTTTTGTTCTTAGGCACCTTTGGTTACGTTAGTTTAGGTTGACATATTACAGACATAAAATCATTTTATATTTTTATTTTAAAATTTTGAGTGTTCTGTATAAACTCACAATGCTTAAAATCTCAAACATAATACTGTATTTTTGACCGATTTCATTGATGAGATCATTTTATTGTTTTTACTTTTCATATTATAATAAAACAAATACATCAAACGCTGAACTATTCAAAATTATATATTATATCTAATTATAAATAATGTATATAATAGTATATACAAGAGTACACATCTTATACAGCTTATTCACGAATACATTTTCATTATGACCATAATGGAACCTGAAATGTGTACAATAATCGTTGTAAAACTAAAGACTTAGTTGATAGAATGTAATAAATCATCTATGTACAAAAATATTATATAATAATAATTATTATTATAAATAATATATTTTAATGAAAACATTTTTAAATCAAAATAAGTTATATTAAATTCGTGACAATACCGAGTTATTGTTTTTTTTCTTCTAAATATATCAAAATTGTAAAAGTCACTAGACCTAAATTCGGCCCACGTGTAGATTTTTAGTAGTCCCGAAAACTATATTTAAGAAGCAAAACAATGAAAAAGTGCTATTTTGTTCGGTTTTCAATATACATCGGTATTGCTGTTTCTAAAAAAATACCTAACATAAGTTTGAAAGTAATTTAATGTTTAATGAATAAATACATTTTAAGAGGTTTATCGCAATTTTGAAGAAAAAGGGAAAAGCTTTTTAAATTTTTGGCTTTATTAAGTACCGAAGCCAATATAATTTATAAATAAGTGACAATATAATATTATTAATGCGGATTTGTTGATATACAAAGTTCATATTTATAAACAAAATACAGAAATGTGTTATTTATTATTTTGTATTTTTCAGGAACTATACATTGGCTTGTGTCATTTTCTAGACGTTTAGGACATTATTAAAATTATTAAAACTTGAGTGGGGTGTTGTATTTACACTATTTACACAACTTCGGTTACTCCCATTTGAGTAGATTGACTGTTCTGTCATACTTTTTTTTTAATTTATGAATACGTTTTTTGATTAGGTACAATATAACGCGGTCACCGGTCGCATGATCTATTATTTATTTTTTCGGTTTCTGATACATCCGGTTTCTGTATTAATTGCTATTGTTTACGGTTTGTCCTTATAATGGTATTTATTAATTAGTGTGGTCACCAATTATTATTAATGTCGTGTAATGGTTATCAGCCGTACACGATTACCGTATACAATATTATTGTGCACAAATGTCGAAATGGCAACACTGATATTACATATGTTTATAGAAAACGTGCGGCGCTATCACACAGTATTTCTCTTTTATCATTAACGATTTGATTTGCCTGTAGCCGTCAGTTGCTTACTACTTACCGCTCGTTCTGCTCGTTCGTCGGGTGTTTACTACTTAATATTTATATTTAAAATTTGTTTTTTTTTTCAAAAAAATCTGTGCAATATTTAATAAAGAATTGTTAATTTTTAATTTTTATTTATTCTAATGCGTTATTTCGTTTTGTTTTTATAATAAAATTAAAATATTTTATTTTGGGCCGTGTTTATATCGCTGCGTGTGTTTATTATTAAATATTATTATACCTAGGCTGTAGTCAAATCTAATAAGACAAAACAAAAGAAAAAAAAACCCAGACTATATTCTCACAATGTTGTCTGCGCATTATCTGTAACTTGCGATCACAATTTAGTACGGCCGATCATTACGATTTAAAACAGGTACATACGTAAAACATGCGATTGAACTTTTTAATGTGTTAGGTTTGGTTTAGATAAGTAATTTGTATTCTAGCTAGCTATGAATTTTCAGCAGGTTCAATACAAATATATATTATGCTATTTTCAAGCTTGCCGGAAAAAAAAAATTCATTAAATTTGGTATTTTTATAGGAATTTAATAGTAATTGTTGGTATGAAATATTCCAATATTTTTTTGATAGTGTAATATCAAAAATTAAATTTATTTACAATTATAAAGCAGTAAAATAGGATAATATATTTTGAAAAATCTTTAGAACAACTGTGAATTTTATAATATTTAATGTTATATTCTTTTTTACTATAAGCAAATAAGTTTGATTTGAGTACCTACTTTTTTTTAATGTAGTTGTATTACTATTTTATTTGTTATAAATGTTGAATGAAGTTATATATAATTAATTGCTTTTTCATAATTATGTCTATTGTAACAGAATGCTTAAAATTCAGTAGGTATACATTGAGTAAATGGATTAATTTGTTGAAATCTTAGTTTATTATTGTTAAAATGTTAACTTCTCTTAAAATATTTTGTTATTTAATTTTATTTTTAAAATACTTCTATAGTATCATCTAGTCTAAATTAGTACATTGCTTACTATTTTAATTAGTATGTAGAACCAATATTGATGTAGTATTTTGATTATTTTTAGGATTAGATACATACGATGAGACCATGGCTTGGTCTTTTGTGCCTAAGCATTGTCACATTATGCGTGGGACAGCGTCAACGTCCAATTTATATGAACCAATTCGCTGTTCACATACCAAAAGGTTCCGAGCACGCTGAACAAATTGCTGCCAAACATGGTTACAACAATATAGGACAGGTAAGATACTTTTCATTCATTATTTGATTTGAGGATACGCAGCGGGATAGGCTTAATGGAATTGGCTTCACTTATACAATAGACTCATAGATGGAAGGTTTTAAAGCGAGAGTCCATAACTAATTGTTGTTTAATACTAATGAATTAATGGATTTCCTTTTAACTTCAGGTTTGTATTCAATAACATCATCACATGTTAAATAAATACTTAATGGTTTACTAGTCAATTTAAATGAAATAATATTAATATATAAAAGCCTTTTTAATTAATTTTTTTTATTACTTTTAATAATAGTAAATATATTGTTAACATAAAAATGCGCAATTATTTAGTAATTAATCTTGTTTTTTTTAAATGTTAACAATTTTTTTATATTCATCCAGATAAAAAAAAAAATTAATACATTTCTTGTTTTTTATTATTAAATGTAGTGTTAAATTGATTATGTGGATTCTCGGTTTCCGGTTTAAAGGTTACCGTTTGTTATTTTTAAATAATTTATCTTATCAGTTGAATTTTTTAAATAACATTTTTTTATTCAGGTAGAGATCAAAAAATTTAATAATTAATACATTTCCTGTTTTAAAATTAAATGTATGATTCAGTGCTGTTATCTATTATATAGATTTTCGATTTAATGATTACCATTCGTTAAACTGATTGAGTAAATCTCAATCAAAACATATTTTTTTAAATATAAGAAGTGTTTTAACTGGTCTATATCAAGAATAGGTACCTAAAAAACAAAAAGAATGCCTGAAAATATTGTGAGCACATTTTTCTGGTAAAAATATTTTTATAACGTGTCTAGGATATTACATTTATTACTTTGCGATTAAAATAACAGGTATACATTTTTGCTACCCAGGACGATTAGTGTTTATTTTTTCTTTATTTGCAATCAATTTCGATTTGAATTTACAAACGTACCGTAGTTGACATAAATGTTGATTGTAAAAATATAATTTAACATTGTTGAAAAAAAAGTAGCAAAATAAATTTCACAGCTGCATTAGAAAACCGAGTGCCTGTGTAGGTACTTTCTATTGTTAAAAAGCACGAGGAATCCGATTGCTCCATAAGATTACACTATAACTTACTGTTTCCTGCGTTAAAACTTCTTTCGAATTTTCACAAATGAACAATTTTCACCTACTGCAATATTGCCCATTATTTTGGGAAATCGTGCATTATTATGTGTTAAAACAGACTATATATGAGAAAAGCACTATTTTCTAGTAAAAACAAAACAAATGTTGTTATTACAGTGATGAGTTTTTTTTTGTGGACCCACGATTCATATAATTAAACCGCAGAATCGATTTCAGTTGATTTTAGGCAAAAATGTTCAAAAAAATAACCCCCCTGAAAATCGTAAAAACACTAAAAAAAAATTTCGGGGCTCTATCTATTTCAAGTCCTAGTACTATGGACAAGTCCTAGTATAAATAGATCATCATCATGACTACGAGTGCGATTAAAGTTCGGTGGAACTATTCAGAAGTGCCACTAACAAAACTCGTATATCAATGATGATCGCCAACATCCGAAACGGATCGGCACATTAAGAAGAAGAAGAATCTCTTTCAAAAATAGTGTAATAAGTTCTAAATTTCTAAGAAATATTCTTAAGATAAAGTACTATCGATGAACGTTGACAGTCCAAAAAAATATCAAAAACCTTTTAGAACAATTTTTCTTTATTTCGATTTTTTTTAGGTGTAGTTTTTCAGGGCTTAAGGTTTGAAAATTAGACTGAAGGTACATCTAGAATAGGGCTACAACTTGTACAATTTTCTCAAAAGTCTGTAATCAAACTATTTTTTGCATAAAAAAAAAAGCAAAAAAGAGGAAAAATTACACTTACTTTTAACTTTGGTAAATCTCTAGGATGCTATGCGGGAGGGAATCAACAGTCAACAGGTATCTGAAAAATAGTTTTATTATATTGCTAATTACAATTTATGGGAAACAATGACAACAAATTATTGTAGACAGACGTACAATCCTAATGCTAAAGATAAAATAATTTTAAACACATAATTGTCATTACAATGCTTTTATTTATATTTGTATTTCTACAATTCACAGATTGGCATCGAAGCGTTTATTTTAATGTGGTTTATCACAATATTATTGCTCGACTCGAGTGTCTTAAATATTGTTTAACGATTGAAAACAGTATGTTTTTCTTTGTTTAGACATAACAAAAACTATTTTGTTTTGATGAACCTAGCTATCGCGAAAAAAATCACACTGATATTTTCTATGATACTAATACGTCATTTATGCTTGCTTTATTAGCAGTTATAATATTAACAACAATGTGGTATTTGGTAACAATGTGGATTTAACTGAACGCTGGTTCGTGTTCGTGGAATTAATTAACAATCCAACAACGGCTATCATTATTACTATTGTTACCTATTTTATTGTGCATACTAATAATAATAATGTGTAGGTTTATACCATGTATCCTCATTTGGCGAGATTTAATTAATTGTCTATAGCACGCCATATAAACTTTTGCATACAACCTAAACGACATAACGTTTAGAATTGAAAAAAACAAAATAAAGATAAATACTACCTTCTCATCTGTTAAAGCAAGGCGTGTTTTATTTAGGACAAACATCGTAATTAACATTAAATTACATTTCAAATAAATAAATAAATAATACATTTAATTTAATTACATAATTTAAATTAAATGTAAAAGTGGGTATAGACATCGTCTCACTGGCCTGTTGTCACACGCGAATTCGTCACAAAAGTTTCGGCTTTAGTTAAAAGCGTAACGATACTTTTTTATGTGCTAAAAGTTTTAACCGGAAAATCGATTCTGCAAGCAATAGAAACGTCAAATGAAAGTACTGAGTTGACAAAAACTAGGTTTTTTTAAAAATGTTTTGTAGAACTCAATGAAACACTTATTTTCTGCAAAAACTACGGTTTTAGTTTAATTGAAAAATAGAAAAACCATATCACGGTGGCGATGGATTGTAGTGGAGTTGTCCGCTCACGGGATTTAAGGAATTATTGTGACTGAAGTTTTAAAATACAATTTAAGCAAAATTAAATGGCATAACTTGACTTAACCTTTATTTTGGTAGGTTCAATCTATTTTAAGACCTAAACAACGCTCAAGTACGGGAAAATATGTATCAAATCTTTACATTTCTTCTTCGGGTTAAGATTTTTGAACGAAACCCAAAATACCTACTATATGTATTGTAGTACATTACGCGTTGAATTCAAAGTTGACCTCAGAAGTGTTCTAACATGTCTAATTGTTTTTTATTTTCTCTTTAGAGTTTTAAAAATACCACTTTGTGGTTCATCAGCGTGTCCTATTGGCTTTACGTTTAAAGCATTTTTTAACATTATTTAAAATATATTTTGTTATTTTATCTTGAGAAAAAATGTGGAATGTGGAACATAAAAGAAATTCCGATTTTTGTTTAATAAGCTATTGACAATCTATTGTTCAGTGTTTTTAACGTTCGTGGTTAAATTTCATAAATGTATAATACATTTTTTCCGGTAAATCTATAAAGCAATAGAAGTGTCAAATTTTGTTACAATTATCACTACTGGAACCAGATCGGGGCTGGCGAGTTAAAATCTAAGTTTGTTTGTTTGTTTGTTTGGGAAATTAAAAAATAATTTCCAAGGATCGCCGGAGATTGTAGTGTCGGATGCTCTTGCTGTTTTTTATGCATTTTTGTGTTCAAACCGGACCAAACCGATAATCGCTCGACTGGAATAACGATTATTATTATTATGTAATAAATAAACACATAACGGATAGAGTCTCTTCTCGTCCAACCGTTCACGTTCAGAGCTAGACTTCCTGAATAATTTGCGAGGTTCAGATCATTATTGGGAGGGGGGGGGAGGGGTTAATTATTTAAATCTGCGACGCTCCGAACAGGACAAAGTGATAATATCAAATTGCATAACTGTTGTCGTTTGATAATACATTTTTTTTATTGTAATAATAATAAAATAAAATGAAAACCAAAAACCGGTTGCTCGGGATTTGCGGTGCGGCTGCAGTGCAGCAACTTTTATGCTCTTTGTTGTTATTATTATTATTATTATTATTATTATTATCATTATCATTATCATTATCATCATCGGTATACACGTAATCGACTACTCGACAGTGTTGTTCCCTCCCCCTTCACTTTGATATTGGTCTGGTCTTGTCCGGTTAGAAGGGGAAGTGTTTTTACTTTCTCCAATCGTGTCGTCAAAACACAATATTGTAATTAGCATCCAAACGGTCGAGCATAACTCACGTATAAAAATAATATTAAATTATATACTGGTGATAGAGCAATTCATACCACCTGTTGTACACGGGTAACTATAATCTACAGGTTGTAATTGGCAAACGCGGAGGAGTGTGATCGTGTCAACTGGTTTTCGAGTTCATGTCGGTCATACTTACGCTTTATTTAGATATGTTGGCCAACTATTTGTGTCGTCCTAGACGAGGCGCGATAAACGAGAGAGGGAGAGTGAATCAGCTATGTAGTGTAGACTGTAGTATAAGACATTTTATAAGTAATAGCAGGTATGCAACTGTCAGCGATTCCTTCTCGGGACTACTTGGGAAAAATAAGTAATACTTACTCTCATTATCATCGTGTTAGGTCACAGCTTGCAAAAACAAACTCTGTCGCCATAACATCGTCGGTGCTCGCAGTGCACAGCCATAAAATAATATAATATGTTTAGTGCGGTTTTGAAATGTTTGATTGATTCAAATGCGCATATTATTATAAACTATGTATTGCTGTATACGTTTTGATTGAATATTCATTAACACTCGAGAGAGTAGGCAGTGTTATGAATATAATGTAGGACTTAGTTGATTTTGTGAACAATATTACTCCTGAATAATCAAGTATATGTTCATAGGAATTAATTGCGTTTCAAACACCATTAAAAATACGTCGTTCGGAAATAATAATGATTTGTGCTGCGATAA